GTAACAGATTACATATCAAATTATATCATTACATTTAAACTCCTTCCCGCATTATCTAGCAATATCCTAAATCGTGTTTAAACTGAAATAAGTAGAGTGGCCCGCATTTTATCCCCCGAATCAAGTTGAGCAACAACGTCCCTGACTGGTTAGTTTAACATGCTGTATAGGAAGGATTTACACGAATAACGAACGGTTTGAACAATGATAAATTTTAAAAAGTGATATATGAATGACGATTTAACTATATTCGACTCGTAAGTTCGGGCACTGTCCACCAATAATTGGTGCTTGTCCAAATAAATAATGTAATTTCGAATACCGAGTCGTCAACAAGCTGAGCGTCGTGTTGAACGTCTTTAGATAATGGGAAATGGTGTGTTTTTTGTGACCTTGTTCGTACTTATTTGTTTAAGAGTTGTTTATATGGATAAATGACAGGTGATGTCACTAGCGTCATGCCATTTATTATACACCGTTCAGCGTTGAGCGTGTTTGTCGTAATGTTTATGTTTTTAACGGTCTGGTATAAGAGCTGGGGATTTTTTTCATTTTATATCTCATTTCCTTTAAGGACCTCTAAAGCAAATTGGATTTCGAGATATAATCACTCGTTTTAATACCACCCACAACATATTTATTTCAATATAGAAAATTTGTCGTTGGCTCAAGATTCATTTAAATAAAGACGGATGGAAATAATTATGTTTAGTGTATCGTATCTGATAATCGTGTATAAAAAAACCCATACAAATATAGCTTTTCCAGAAGCGGTTTGAAATTTGGAAAGTAGGATGTAATCAAGGGTTTTGTAAGTGATGCAAAACTACATTCAATACTACATATCATGGAATCATAACAACATGCTTAGCACTTGTCCTGAATAATCCGTTTGATTTATACCATTGAGAAAATTGTAAGAAAACACTTCAAACGTACAGACCGATAGTACATATATATTGCGATGAAGGCGATAAGGCTAAGTGCATCGGGCTACAAGTCTTGTTTGGTAGATTTGAACCAAGATGTGATATATCTAATAAAATTGTGGTGTTAGCTCGATAATATTCACTTCATGGATTCGTCAGAAGGGCAACCATTTGTCATAATTTGTTTTTATTGGATAATTTCATAAAAATAAACCCATTCTCATAACCTTTTCATACACAAGGAAGTTCTAAGGGAAGCAACTCTTATATCTAATGCAATCTTACTAGGAACATGATGTTAAACTTGTATCGTGCCACTTGCTTTTGTAAAAATACTAATATTTGTATAGTTATTACACTTTAACTTAAACTTTTCTCCGTGCTCTTGTAAATATCAGATTTCTTCGCATACCAAAGTGTCCCATATAACTCAGAGAATCTCATAAACTGGGTTGCCTACCAAATTGGCACAGTATTCCATTCCACAAAGGGAAGAACCCAGATACAGCTTACATTGTCATTGTCTTCTACGCTGGGATTATTTTTTCCTTAACCTGTCAATGTTAACTGCTAGATTCTGCAGTTCCCATAAGGATAGTTCCAACCCATTCCAACAGCAACAAGGACATAACCACCAAGATCCCCTGCCCATGTTCATTTGTAAAATATATACATTTCAAGTGAGCAACATGGAAAACTAAAGGATTGAAACCATTTATTGTTAATGTTCAGTTTAAAGTTCTGTTGAAAGTGATCAATATAATAACAATTTAGAAGCACAATACTGTGAATATTAAAATCAGCTGATCGTACCTTTGTATTCCCTTTTTTTACCCAATGGTAATAATTGAATATTAGTCTTTAATTTCATTGATGCTGGATTAATCAATGATTCTATTACAGCTCAAGAATGACAAAATAGTGAAATGTTTTATACACATTAATAAAATACAATACAGCATCTAATAGTTTTGTAAAATTGCAAGAAAGTTACTATAGTTTATATTCCTTTAAAGGTCTCTTATTATTATTTCAGAAGACATTCTGTGCAAAGCAATCAGCCAATCAGGTCACAGCTTCCTCATTAGATTTTAATGGGATTAGCCGATAATCAAGCTTAAGTGAGTGGTCAAGAAATATGAACGTTCCTTTGCAGAAATTGCGATGATAATCTTTACCTGTCAAATACAACATGGCCGTCTGGAAGCCATTTAGTTTCTTCTGATCAGTCCCACAATCAAATGGCCACAAGGAGAGATAAAGGGAACATATCTATGAAATTTGAGAGATATTAATTAAGTACTTTTCAAGAAACTGACCGGTCCCAAACTAAAACATGCAGAACTAAGGACCAAGAGGAACCTATAAACGAAATTTGAGAAAGATATATACAGTACTTCTTAAGAAACAGTGATAAACTTTTGAAGACAAAATCCAAGATGGCCGCCTTTTATCCATTTTGTTTTTTCTGATCAGTACCAAAATCAAACAGGCACAATTAGGGATAAAGGGGAATCTATACCAGAAATTTGAGAACGAGCAATACAGCAGTTCTCAAGATAAAGCAATAACAAACTTGCAAAGTCAAAATCCAAGATGGTCGTCTGTTCGCCATTTTTCTTTCTGATCAGACCCGAAATCAAATGGGCTCAACAAGAAACCAAAGGGTACTTACATATGAAATTTAAGATAGATCAATCTAGTTCTTTTCAAGAAAGAGCAATAACAAACTTCATTGAAAAAATCTAAGATGGCACATTTCTGCTATTTCGTTTATTTGATCAGTCCTAAAATCAAAACGGGCACAACTAGGGACCAAGGCGAACCAATTTATGCAATTTGAGAAAGATCCGTCCAGTACTTCTCAAGTAATAGCAATAACAATTATTTACGGACGGACGGACCACGGAAGGACGCACAGACAGTCAACGAACGGCAGGACCCAAGACGATTTGAATAGCCCACCATCTGATGACAGTCGGTTAAAAAAATGACCATTCTTTTGAAGGAAGTGTGGAAAGCGATCCTCAAGACTTTTTCCAGAAATCAGCTAATCAATGATTTAATATGCATGGAATTCACAGTTTATCGATTTTGCGTGGAAAGATAATGTAAATTTACCAAGAAAGTCTTATCATAATTTATTTGTCCCTTCAACAGATAACATTGGAAAGTATTCAGTAAAGGTGCTGAATGATATCAGTCAATCCAGTCACATCAGCCTCATTAGTTTACGTGCAGAATTTGCAAATAATCCAATCTGAACAAGGAATTTAAGTAATAAGTCTACAAAGCAAGTCCCCCCCACCCACCAAAAAAAAAATTTATTCCTTCATAAGATACTGTGTAGGAAGCATTCCCAGAGTGATTAAAGAAATCAGCCAATTGGATCACAGCAGCCTCATTAAATATGCACGAAATTTGCCGTTAATCGAAATTGGGCAAGGGATTCAGGTTACCAGTGTACCACCCTATTTGAATTTCCCTGTCAACTTGGTCAGGCAGGGTGTAACAACAAATACAATGTAGTCATTCCCTCTCTCTTGTTCATTACTGCTTAAGGAAACCTACTTTGATTGTCATATTCACAGGTATAAGAAATAGTTATCACTTCACTCATTGATTATGACTTGTTTTAAATACCCGAGGTTTAACATGGTGGAGGAAACAAATACTACAACACTGACATAATCAAATTCGGGAGAAACTCTTAAAGATAAACATGTTTTCCTTTTACCCAAAGTTCTTAAAAGATCAACAGTTATTCCCTGTACCCTAAGCTCTTAAAGGTCAACAATTTTCCCCATATTTCCTGTGAAATGGAAAAAGTACCCACTTCTTAATACACTGTTAATAATTCTTTGTGGTAATACCCACTATTACAGTGATTCAGTGAACGTGTTAAGAAGCTGGTCATCAGAACACTAATACCCTTGATGAAGCAATGCTTAGTGATACCAACCAACCAAATATAGAAAATTATGAACCTCATGACCTCTAATTACTATACATAACACATATACCAATAGATATGGCATTGATTTAATTCTCACTTTTCCTCTCCTGTACATCATTAAATTATTGCTTTATATACATTGTTTAATTTCATTCTTAAAACATGTATGCCGAACAAAATATGACAAAGTTTTACATAACTGTAATGAACTAACACTTATAATCATATTTCAGAACCTCTAATAACAAGAGGCACATTGGGCCTGTATCGCTCAAATGCTTTCAGACCAGCCATTACCATTGACAACAAAAGAATGTTCCATTCTATGGTGCATAAATGCCCCTAATGCACTTGTGTGTTCAAGCCAATGACACAATCTGAATTTCAGTGCCAATAATGTATCAAATATGCAAACATAATGTGAATTAAAAGTTTAACCCTATTTTTCCCCTTTTGGGTACCCAGACAAAATGTGAATTAAAAGTTTAACCCTATTTTTCCCCTTTTGGGTACCCAGACAAAATGTGAATTAAAAGTTTAATCCTATTTCTCCTTTCAGACCCCCAGAGGTCTTTCCACTTCTCTTTAACAATTTAGAATCCCTACTTCATTAAGGTGCTTTAGATGAAATCTGTTTCAAATCTGTGCACTGGTTTTTTTTATTAAGTCATTTAAATGAAAAGTTGATGATGCACCACAGCATAAACTTACTTGCTCTTTGGGCAGGTAAGCTAAAAACGATGAAAAATGTATTATTGTATGTTGACTCTGTGTGTGTTCAATATATATAAATACATTCCAAGGAACAGGTAGGATGGTGCTGGTTATACCCACAGAATGAAAGTAGTGCTGCAGGCCACAACATGATACCTCATCCCTGTGAGTAATGCCATACTAACTTAATCTTCATTTAAGTTGAAGTAAACTAATTAAATTCAGATCTGATCATTTCACCATCTCCTTAATAAAAAATAATGTAATCAAGTGTTGCTGATAATTGACAAAACAAACTCGTTAGACGGGTAGCTAAAACTGAAATATTAATGGTATTAAGAAAGATACCATCATTCTCAATTAAGAAAACATTTCACCACAATGGTTTTTATTTTCTCTATTTCATATTGAATGTATAAATACTAATTCAGTTCAGACTTCTATTGAATAGATTCATCAAATCACCAATTTCACAAAATATCTCATTAATAAGCAGACATGTGCATGGAGGAGGATAACGGTCAACTCTTCTGCTCACTTTGATCATCTCAAACTTTAGACTCGCCAAGATATATACCTGGTACCTGAAAATTTGATAATAATTCAATATCTAAAGTTATACCAAAGCCCATTATATTCAAATAGACCTCTTCAGTGTGTGAGAATACACATGGATAACAACAATAATTACAAATACTTATGTCAGTTAATTAAAGAATCAGGCTGGCGTAGATAAGATCATTTCAAAAATATCCCACCATAACAAACCAATCACACTAATTAATTAAGCCTCATTAATAGTCATAAATACGTACAGGTCAAGACAATTATCATTCCCAGCTTCATTCCCCCTTACATACCATAGTGGGAAGAAAATGTTTAAAATATAAAAATTGAAATCCTAAATATTGTAGCAGCACTACAGTTGACAATGTACAGATATTACAAATATTAACAGATATCAGAAAAAAGTCATAATTTCCAACAAAATCATCTAAAAAAATTAATTAGAAGCCCTGAGCTTCCAAGAGTATTGATCACGTGTTTCCAGGTCCATTGTTGAATTGTATCAAAGTATCCTCAACAATCACTGTTTCAGCAGTTCACGTAATAAACTAACGGACCAACACATAGAGAAGATTAGTATGGACCAAACAATATCAATATCATATCCCTTCTCTCAAAAGACTTCCTTCATTGACAGCTTAGGGTCGTATACTTTTAATCTAGGTTTCAAATGTCTTAAAGCTTTCTTTTTCTGTTGACAGAATAGTTATAAGACTACAGTACTCTTGTAAAATGTTAACATAGGTTCTGGTCACAATCACATTTTTTTCTAAGGGTTGCTATACTTACATGGCAAGCAATAATATATATGTATATGTAACAAGTCTACAGGGCAAAATAAACTACCTGTGATAAAGGAAGAGCTGGGGTGTCTGCAGATTTAACAACCTACTGCCATCCAATATACCATAAAAAAAACTTGTGCAATTGTATCTGTACTCTGTGGAGCATAAACACAAATGACTTACATATTGAACAGGTGATCGAATTGATCTTCTATCTTCAAAAGAATTTGAAGTTGATCATATTTCATTAAAACTTAAACATCTGTCCACAACATCATATTGAGAGCTTTGTTACATATGAAGTTGTCAGGGTAATTTCATTCTCATAAGAAGTCTTGTGTCCGCACATTGCGTCTCACAGCATTAGAAAATCCTTCTTTGAAATGAAACCAAACGTCAGTAATTAAAACATTTTTCTTCTTTTTCACTTCTTCTGCATCATCTACAACATATTTAAGATAAGAATAAAGTTCTGAGGTAACACAGGTCATACACAATGTAAAACTAGGCTACTGATTAACACGAAATACAAAATCCTTTCAGTTACTCTGGTTTTAAAAGATGAAGAGAACTCTAACAAATACCAGGAGTGCTTCAATTTGTTAAAAATCCTTCATTTCCTGGGACAGATGTTCTCTGATGTCACAAAAATAAAACCATATGATTCAATAAATTTCTTCATTTTCAATATTCAAAACAACTAAGTATATATCGATATTCTAAAACATGCCACTTTTTTTTTAAAATTAGACATGAGATGCCAGTTAGACACACTATAAAACTTGAGAAGCTTATCAAACATACCAGACTGTTTCGGTTTTGCTTCTGGAGTCTTTTTCTTTATTACTCTCCCAAAGAAGTCTTTTACAACCTGAAGTAAGAAAATAACATTAAAAATAAACAGCAAGATGATAGTAGTATATCATACTGAAACAACTACAATGTACACCAGCTAAACAGCACCAGCCAATCAGAAACCTAGTCTTACTTAGGAAATCTTACAGAAAAACATTGGAATGAAAAAACTTCTGATTTAGGCAAAAAATTTCACGGTAAATAAATTTATATTTTGCAAGTAACCAATATAGCAGGTAATCGAGAGGTCTTGTCTACATTTCTGACAGAGACAGACACAGCTTTGAGCTCCCATCTACCTCTGGACATACTTACCACTTGTTCTTGTGTGATAGACACAGCCTAGAGATCCAGCCTACATCTGGACATACTTACCACCTGCTCTGGTGGAACAGACACTGCCTTGGGCTCAAGCCTATGTTTGTGACATACTTACTACTTGTTCTGGTGTGACAGACACAGCTTTGGGGTCGAGTCTACGTTTGTGACATACTTACTACTTGTTCTGGTGTGACAGACACAGCTTTGGGGTCGAGTCTACGTTTGTGATTAGGTATAAATGCCTCATCTGTCTTGGATTCTTTAGAGGATGACTGTGATGTTGGCACTCTCCTTGATTAACAGAGAATACATAGATATACAATGACTGTGATAAGTATCTTGTAGGTACCTAGCATTGTACAACACCAAACGGTATCAGAGAACTCCACTTTTAACATAGAGATGAGTTTTGACTCAACACATTACATCTGTTGACATCAAAATGTCTGGCGTGTTGGCCAGAGGACAATACAGCTGATGTTGAAGGTGCTGACAGTATTAGATGGTTACCGTGTCGGTAACAGGTTTTAGATGTTGCTGATTTATTTAATGAATACTGTACCTGGTGGCTTCACCCCTCCCCATCTCACTGCGTCTCATTTTCTCCATCACAATCTGTAATCAAATGTCTTACATGTATTAAGTTATAAACATCTTTGATGAGAGAACTTGAAGGTTCATTTGAAACAGTCACATGGTATTTATTGGTCCTTTCATTTCCATCTTATATATTTTCTACAGAAAAGTATTTGTCCCAATTGCTATGGATCTTTACATTTCCAGTAGATAATCACTATTAATCATTTATATATTGTCTAGGACCAGTTTGCGAGATCATTGTAGAGTTTACTGAGCTATCTCCCTTTAAAACAACTTCAAAATCATAAATCATAAAATCATAAAAACTATAAATGCTTACTGAGCCATGCCTTTATGTGAAATGTTTCTTTTGATGATAGAAAGAAACTGGACATGCATAATTTGTTGGTCTATCCTTTACCTATAAATTTATGCTTATGTCCAACAGCACTTCAGTTTGACAAAAACAGAGAAAAAACTAAGTACACCAATAGATTATATAGCCATTTTCTGGCTTGACAACTTCTTAAGAGGACAAACTGTTATCAATTTACACACCAACATATCTGTTAAACATAACAATGATTACATTAAGTTGTACCTTATACAGTACTCTCAAACTAAAGTAAAATATCCTAAACGTACCTCTCTGGCGATTAGTTGCTTGGCAGCATATGTAAGCTGTCTCTGTTGCTTCATGCCCAAAAATTTAACCACCTCATCTACTTTCCTGTTCAACAAACCACATTAAATTAGGACTGTATAGTTTTCTTTAACCTTGCCTTTTCTCTCCATTGTTTGTTGAAAATCAGTCAAGTCTCACTGTACAAACAGTTTGTATACAGTAGTTGTATTATTTGTATTGTTTTATATTGTTAAACATCAAATCAACAGAAATGGTCCTTTATTGCTTGTTATTGTTACCTTGTACAACAAAATAACATACTTTGAACAAGATGTGTTAATGAAAAACTATGCTCATGGTTGCAACAAAATTCTGAAGTGAGACATTAAAACTCTACTGTGTAAGGCATGAGCTAATTGCATCCACAATTTTTCAAATGTAGGTCAAAGGTCACAGTCAAGGTCACACGATGAAACTTTTTTATATTAATGGAAAGGTCTTGACACAAGGAATATACGTGCAAAATATGAAAGCCCTACCTCTTATAATACAATAGGTATGGACAATCTTAAAATTAATAACAGACAAACAGACAGACAAACAAATACAGAGCAAAAATAATATGCTCCTGAACTTTCGATTCAGAGCATAAAAAACACTACCATGAACACTAGATACAGTATAATATTTGACATCAGTATACATCCAAAAACCTGTAAGAATGTTCAGACCTCTTCACAAGCTTCAATCACACCTAAAACCACATCTGATTTCATAACTCACGGATCAAGAGAGTAAATGTACTGGCCCTCAGGAGATTTCTCCTGAAGGTAGGTCATGTTGTAGGCAATCATAATCCTGATTAACTGGGCTAGTTCCTCCTTCTCTCTGGTACTGTACAACTGGGTGTTTATCTACAGTTAAAAACATAATATAACTCTATGGTACTTTCAAATTGAGTATTCAGTAAGTAAACAAGAGTCACATAAGGCCTGTATCATTCACTTTGTTCAGTTTAGTCACAACTCCTCTATCCCTACTGTAGGTGCCTATGGGACTCTGGTCATCTGCCCCAGGGGGTCAGTTCCTTGGTTTATACAAAATGGAATCCTCTCCACCCAATTTTGTCAAAATTCCTTTATCCCTACAGAAGGATTGTAAAGACTGAATTTCATTTCCCCTATTGGACAAGGACCCTTACCTTCTGCTCCAGAGTTATGAAACCAACCATTTATACAAAATTTAGTCCCCCTTCACCTAAGAATGCATCAGATCAGATTTTAAAAAATCTATCATTTCTACAAAATTTGCTGTATAACCATTACTAGGCCCAAACAATTTTTTTCCAGGAGGATCTAACCTAATCTTTATAAATTTCCAAATTTTAACCAAATTCTGTAATTCCAACAATGAGAAAGAAAGAGAAATGCAACTGTGCAATAAATACTTGGAAATCTTGGAATATCCTTGACACAGTAATTTTATGACACTAGCACTTGAATTAAGCCACGGTAACAGTATATCAAATACTAGTATTTTCAATAAAACAAAAATATCTAAATTGAAATCTCATTTATTTTTCAATGCAAATTAAAATATCTATATACCTGTATACTGACAGATTTATCTGATAATAGATAGAAATAAAAAGAGAATAACTTACAGGCCGAAGTGTTGGCATGATGATGTCCATCAGGGGAGGTAACACCTCAAGGACAGTATTTTCCTGGTCTAGGTACTTCCTTACTGACGGGATCATGTCTGCCATCATTGCTGTTACCAGGTTCTGAGACTTGCTTAACTTTACAGAGGCCTAGGGTACAGAAAATGTTGTAAATACACAATTAAATATTTAAAACAATGTTTTCTCTTTACAATTAAGTTAGTTTGACTACATGAATTTTAACTGTGGTGAGTGAAATTGAGTTTTAGTACCGGTAACTGGTCCCATGACCTCTGAAACTACTGGAGTTCCTAGAAAGAAGCAATGCATGAAGTTTGAGTCTATGGGTGAAAGGGAACTCAAGTCCACATGTGTGACAGCATATACAATTGTCACTACATCCATACGGTTTGTTCAACAACATTTTTTTAGAAGCAATAAAAAATTTCAACAAATAATTTTTGAAAAAATAATAAAAGACTAACCTCATACTGACTGTGAGGATATTGAATTCTGGGAGCCTGATTGGATGCAAACAGCATGTGAAATGTGACGGTGACGTATGGGATATATGGTAATAGACAGTAGTCCTGTTTATGGGCGATGTACTGATTTGCTCTGTCCACAAAACTCAGCCATTCCATGGCAAAATTCAGCTGTAACATACAGACAAATATCATGTTTAGTTATACTGCTTTGGACTTCAAACACAATTCTAACATACTCTTTTTCTTCATCTGTTTGTGCAAAAAAAAAATCATAACGTAGATACAAATTTGATATACATCTATGGTATGTAAAAGATGTAAGTGGCAGTCAATTAGTGCATTACAGTACAACAGAGAATGATAAGCAATCTATTGTGTTTTACTATCAAAAACTTTCAACAAAGGATCATATTATATGGCTTTACATAGGTTTATGTCCCAAATGGAAAGATGAACGATGAGTCAGATCTCACTATAGCAGGGTACATGCTCTGAATTCACTTCTAGACATTCTACCATTCCATGAAGGTAGTGAACTTTTTGCAGTTGTACCTATAATTCTGTGAATAATGTGACACACAATCATACAGGTAAGAAACCTGTGAGGCCCACAGACTCGTTTACTATTATATCTGTTGTAAATGTAACATTACAGGCCTTGAGACAGACCATCAGATGTTAATACAGGCCTCAAGACTCATTGTTATGATTCATCAGAAAAGAAGGTAAGATCAGTATGTGTCCTTACTTCATAAATAAACAACCCCGGTCCAACTTGCCGACCCTATCAACAGAAAAGGTAAGAACTTATACCCCTGTATACTTACACCTTCCATTTTTGGGTCCTTGTATTTACATTCCAGGTAGTTCTCAAACAATCCCTGTATAACCTTTTCATACTCCCCACTAGAATGGGTAGCTTGTAATACATTGTGAAACCTGTAACGAATGACCAAATTTTAATGGATCTATTTTAGATTGTAGTTTCTCTGTTTATCAATCACTATACGGTACCATATTTGTCATCTAAGATATATCACAATAATTTGAACCTATTTAAAAATTATCTATGAATATGTCTTTATGATTTTATACTATACAGTTTTATTGTTTGATTTGAAAAAATAATTTTGCCAGCATTATTCATTTCAGTACATTATGCATCAATATCACAATGAAGACGGTCACTTCAGTAGAGAATGTCACAATAAAGACGGTCAGTTCAGTAGAGAATGTCACAATAAAGACGGTCAGTTCAGTAGAGAATGTCACAATAAAGACGGTCAGTTCAGTAGAGAATGTCACAATAAAGACGGTCAGTTCAGTAGAGAATGTCACAATAAAGACGGTCAGTTCAGTAGAGAATGTCACAATAAAGACGGTCAGTTCAGTAGAGAATGTCACAATAAAGACGGTCACTTCAGTAGAGAATGTCACAATAAAGACGGTCAGTTCAGTAGAGAATGTCACAATAAAGACGGTCAGTTCAGTAGAGAATGTCACAATGAAGACGGTCAGTTCAGTAGAGAATGTCACAATGAAGACGGTCAGTTCAGTAGAGAATGTCACAATGAAGACGGTCAGTTCAGTAGAGAATGTCACAATGAAGACGGTCATTTCAGTAGAGAATGTCACAATGAAGACGGTCAGTTCAGTAGAGAATGTCACAATGAAGACGGTCAGTTCAGTAGAGAATGTCACAATGAAGACGGTCAGTTCAGTAGAGAATGTCACAATAAAGACGGTCAGTTCAGTAGAGAATGTCACAATAAAGACGGTCAGTTCAGTAGAGAATGTCACAATAAAGACGGTCAGTTCAGTAGAGAATGTCACAATAAAGACGGTCACTTCAGTAGAGAATGTCACAATAAAGACGGTCAGTTCAGTAGAGAAAAATGATACAATGAAAGCAGTCAATTCAGTAGGGAACAATATTACAATAAAGACGATCAGTCCAGTAGGGAACAATGATACAATGAAAGCAGTCAGTTTAGTAGGGAACAATATTACAATAAAGACGGTCAGTTCAGTAGAGACAGTAGTAATATTAGTATTTAATGAGATTTACCGAGCAGTAGGAGATGTATTGTTGATTTTCCATTCTTCATTCCGTAGATCATTTATGCTCAAAAAGCGATTTCTAAAACAACATGTTCAAATTATATCACATTACATTTACAAGATACACATACTATGAATTTTAAACCTGACAAAAGGACTCAGATATCAGATCTGTCCAGGGAGATGTGAAAAGTGTATCAGTATAAAGATTCTCATTATAAAGTGAGGCAGAAATTGATATTCCATCATTACAAACGGCACTTCGACTTTGGTGATGTTTTCCCAAATTAAACTTATTTCTATGATAAGAAGAAACATATGATAAATAAAATTCTACCTCAGATACTACTTGACCTTAAAATATATGTGTTTTGAGATTTACACCTGAAACTGTAACAAAGAACAAGGCTCTCTAGCTGCAACTGTGATGTCAGCATCAAATGTTTCTTTTCTTTATGGTCACTGTGGTTAAATAGAAAAAATGTTTAAATCTAGGAAGGGTTTAAGATGAAATAATGAGAGAAAATTTTCTTAAGGTTTAGGTTTAGAATCAAATTACTGACCGTTTAGGTCTGGGAAGAGTGAAAATGTCATTCCAGACAGAAAACAAACTTCGTTGTGAGTCCTTTTGTCCTACATTCATGGTCTGGATCAGCCGAACTGACAGCTCTTTACAGTGGCGCTGGACAAACTGCAGGAACACAGCCATAATCAGTAAAACACCAAGGATCATGTGTAGGTTTTAGGATTGCGGACTTGAAAGAGATGGTCTTTGTATTTGTTATTAAGTTTGTCACAAGCATAACAAATAGGAGTAAGTTCATTATTTTTATCAACCTGGTATCAAATCATACAATATACAAAATTACCTTTCTCTCTATGTAAGAAAGAAAAATTACTTATAATATCAATGCATATTAACTATAAAAGCACACTTGCTATAACCATCCCATGATAATGTTCAATTAAGATACACAAACTATTATAAAATATTCCATTTTCCTAAAGTATCATAGCTACACTTGGTTAACAAGAATGCCAAAGAATGTCTTCTCACAAAAACCTGACACACCCTGGTATCACATTACCTGTAATGTGTTAAGACAGGACCTGATATCATTGTCTGTCTTCTCACACAAAGCTAACAAGCTATTCATATCAGCCTTTAAACTTTCCTTTCTTGTTACCTGTAACACAATTTATTTCCTTAGTATTAAACAATTTTCAATTTCACAGTAAATTCATATTAAAAAGTGACAATGTTGCATGTTACCAGAAATTCATTTGCAAATATGTTATTTAATTTTGAAATTGTTTTTTATTAAAAACTTAGACCATTTTATTCCAAGATATATAATTGCTACATATATATTATTGTTGCAGAATAACAGAATATCACAAAAGTGGCACAAATACCAAGAAGACAATCAAAGAGAAAAGTGAACAGTGCACTTGTCAATTTACTAAAAAACAGCTGATATCTCTGGATATTTTCCAGATCCTAAGAAGTTGGATCCAACATACCTCAAACAGGCGACTAGCGAGCTTGGCAGGCTCTGTCTGTGGAAATGTTATTACCATTGCATTCTGTCTTAGCAGGCGCAACGCAGGTACATACCTACAAATAATATCTAACTAATGTAAAATCATACTACATTCAGAGGTATGATCAACAAGATGAGAAAAATAATATGATTTCCTTTTTCAGGTAACAAATTCCCCTAAATTTATACATAAACAGTTACTTAATGACTTATGCATGATCTAACTGATTTTTATAGTCACAAGTCAATGAAAGTACTGGACAATACAGTTATCAGCCAACATACTACAAGATCTACTGCTCAAATCACTTCCTAGATCTACTGGTCAATACACTTCCTAGATCTACTGGTCAATACACTTCCTAGATCTACTGATCAATACACTTCCTTGATCTACTGGTCAATACACTTCCTAGATCTACTGGTCAAATGACTTCCTAGATCTACTGGTCAATACACTTCCTAGATCTACTGGTCAATACACTTCCTAGATCTACTGGTCAATACACTTCCTAGATCTACTGGTCAAATACACTTCCTAGATCTACTGGTCAATACACTTCCTAGATCTACTGGTCAATACACTTCCTAGATCTACTGGTCAAATCACTTCCTAGATCTACTGGTCAATACACTTCCTAGATCTACTGGACAAATCACTTCCTAGATCTACTGGTCAATACACTTCCTAGATCTACTGGTCAAATCACTTCCTTGATCTACTGGTCAATACACTTCCTAGATCTACTGGTCAAATCACTTCCTAGATCTACTGGTCAATACACTTCCTATATCTACTGGTCAATACACTTCCTAGATCTACTGGTCAATACACTTCCTTGATCTACTGGTCAAATCACTTCCTTGATCTACTGGTCAATACACTTCCTAGATCTACTGGTCAATACACTTCCTAGATCTACTGGTCAAATACACTTCCTAGATCTACTGGTCAATACACTTCCTAGATCTACTGGTCAAATACACTTCCTAGATCTACTGGTCAATACACTTCCTAGATCTACTGGTCAATACACTTCCTAGATCTACTGGTCAATACACTTCCTATATCTACTGGTCAATACACTTCCTAGATCTACTGGTCAAATCACTTCCTTGATCTACTGGTCAATACACTTCCTAGATCTACTGGTCAATACACTTCCTAGATCTACTGGTCAAATACACTTCCTAGATCTACTGGTCAATACACTTCCTATATCTACTGGTCAATACACTTCCTAGATCTACTGGTCAATACACTTCCTAGATCTACTGGTCAATACACTTCCTAGATCTACTGGTCAATACACTTCCTATATCTACTGGTCAATACACTTCCTAGATCTACTGGTCAATACACTTCCTAGATCTACTGGTCAAATACACTTCCTAGATCTACTGGTCAATACACTTTTTAGATCTACTGGTCAATACACTTCCTATATCTACTGGTCAATACACTTCCTAGACCTACTGGTCAATACACATCCTAGATCTACTGGTCAAATACACTTCCTAGATCTACTGGTCAATACACTTCCTAGATCTACTGGTCAATACACTTCCTAGATCTACTGGTCAATACACTTCCTAGATCTACTGGTCAAATCGCTTCCTAGATCTACTGGTCAATACACTTCCTATATCTACTGGTCAAATCACTTCTTCATGAGTCATTAACCTATCAGATACTTACTGGTCGTTACAGATACAGATAATTGGACGTAACAGAATATCGCCTTCCTTCTTCTTACTGCTGTTTTCATCTGTCCTCTTGATCAGGCTTAGCAGAAAATTGATGGCTGGCTGAAAATCAGACATGGGTATAGCTTTAGTCAACACATAAGTTAGAGAAATCGTGAGAGGTCTCAGAAAAATATTTTTCTGTTTCTTAATATTGTTTGTGGTCATATCAATGATGCTATCTGTAAAAATTAGAGAGGCCAAGAAATATTCAAATAACAATTTGGTAGGGCAGTATTTCAATAGGAAAATGATATTTGAAAAATTATTTTATCAATTGTTAGAAGTCTACAGTTGAAAGAGCGCTATAATCAATCCCTTCTCTATATAATATATAAACATCATAGCATATAATTATACATAATTAATTTGGTTATTGTCTCAAGATCTGAGGTCATCTATATCCAGGTACTTTTAGGCTTTTAACAACAAAGATCAAAGTTCTGTACCCGTAATATTAGTCTTACAGTTAAGTCGGTCACTTTAATCAGCATTGAATTAGGTTATTTCTGTGGGACGTTTATCAACAGTAACTATGAAATACAAATGTTTGATGGCAACTTTCTGTAGACATTTTAATTACAACATTGATAACAAGTACTTCATCAATACTGATGGCCATGTTGTGAAAGATATCTGACCTCTTCTGTTAAACAAGTTGTGTGCTACATTTATTGTATTGAAAATATTGAACAACAGTAGGTACTATTCTCATAATAAATACTTAAATACTGAATTAGACAAATATTCGAATAAAGATTTCTATCAAACTGACTCAGTAAAATGTGTCAAAATGTGCATTTGAGTCCAACACATACATATGCCTGAGCAATGAAAGTAAGAGGATATTTTACTGATACTTCATGTACATGTTAGCTAGAAGCACTTAATTGTTACTAGTATTATATCATTATATATCATAATTATCATAATATATCATAATACATCATAATATATCATAATTATCATAATATATCATAGCATAATATGCCATATAATACATCATAATATATCATAATACATCATAATATATCATAGTATATCATAATACATCATAATACATCATAATATATCATAGTATATCATAATACATCATTATATATCATACTTTAGTAATACATCATAATATATCATAATATATCATAATTTGGCATAAATTAAAAAAACATCAGAAAACGTCTGGACAAAAAATGTTACCAAGGGCAATAACTCTGTACAAGCCTTGATTTTGGCACACTGTGCAATCATCTTAGTATGATCGATTTATACATACAGTTTTGCTCAAATGATAAACTCTAATCCTCTTTTCATAAATCTCATTTCAGATTTCACATCTTCTCAACAACTGATTAATATCACAGGAAAACAGATGTTGATTATATTTTTTTGCTGAGGTCATACCTGGGGAGCTCCATCTATTTCATCTATGACTAGGCAGTTTGGTCTTGGATCAGCTTCAAGAACTGACTTCATTTGAGTCGCTGCCTCAATCTTGGTTTTGAACACATCAGCACTACGATCATCACTACAAAAAAAGCATTTCATTACTTCAAGTGCTTGAAAATTTAATTAATTTCAGAAATAATCACTTTGACCCATACAATGTACAGAAACATAAAACATATTGTATCATTACCTGGCATTGATCTCTACCATGTTGTAGCCTGCATGTCGAGCCAAAACGTGAGCTAGAGTTGTCTTTCCTAGTCCTGGTGGACCATTCAGTAGTGCAATCTAAAATCATTAAACAGAACTCTGTGTTAAGCGAACATGCTTCAGGATGTTTCTTTGTTAGTAGCCTTATTCATGCATAACTATCCAAGCCTCTCCAAACTATCATACAGCCTCTTACAAGATAAACTGGTAAGACCTACACAGTAAACGTAGAGTAAAACAATTTATATCTAACATGTCAATGACATAGTTGTAGATCCCTAAACACCATAGTGTATCAACAATTATATTTCCTTGATGAATCAAAATTCACGTATATCCTGCATTAATCAAAATTTAAAATTCACTGATTTACCTAATAATTTTATAATCAAAATTCAAAATTGACTAATTAAACCTCATTTTTATACAGTGTTATAAAACAGAAGCTTACTTTCTGCACAGGTCTGTTGTATTTGTCCAGTTCTTCATCTAATACATCAGCCCCAAATTTTTTCTTCTTGAAATCTTTTTCATTACCCTTCTTCTTCTTGTTCTTATCCTTAACCTTTGAGCTGAGTTCCTTGTTGAAGACCACGTGATCCCACAGCTTGAGCCAGTGTAGAAGTGTTCTGTTGATGAGCTGAAATATCACCAGGTTTTTTGGCTAAAGATAATACTATGGTATGATATTCTATCGTCAAGTACTAATTCTAATCACAAAATAATATATTAGTATATATACACAAGCATATTATTACAACCAGAAACATAGAGGATTGTAAATGGTGCTCAGTTCTATTTTCTTCTTGTTACTCTGATATTATGTCATCACAGCTATAGTATCTAATATACAATTAATACATCATTCAGCAGTACAGCAACCACATGAGATTATCTTCAAAAGACATTTATCAAAAGATGATATTTAAAATATATTCTTTAGAGAAGGTAAAGAAGGAGCAACATGAAATTTTACCTCAGTTGTAAGAGACTTAATGTCAGTCATAACAAGTTTTACCTCAGTTGTAAGAGACTTAATGTCAGTCATAACAAGTTTTACCTCAGTTGTAAGAGACTGAGACTTTACCTCTTCACTCAGTAGATCTGTGTACTGTTTAGGAGCATACTTTTCCACCCAAAGCAGACCCATAGAATCAGAGTCTGCAATGTCAGTGTTTTCATCTTCATCATCAACTTCATCATCTGCTTCATCATCAGCTTCATCTCCATCAAGTTTTTTCTCAGTCAAATTACTGTTTAATAAGAAAAAATCATCAGGATATACAGATATTAACAGTGAGATTGATAGTTCTGGTATTGACATTTCTGTTTCCTAATCTGATCTCTACAGACTTACAACGCATCTTTCAAAACAGATCTACACTTCACAATACAACAATGTGAAGAAATTTAGAATTACTGAAAATTAACCAAATTCTATATTGAATATAAAGGTCAAAGGATAGTTGTCAAGTGTCATGAAACAGAAATTGTGACACTGAATATAGTAAGCCAGTGTCAATGCATGCATACCATCAAAACTGTCATCCTACACTAATTTATTTTCAATAACTAACGTTATGCACAAAAGTTGCTATTTTCTATGAAAATTACAGTTAAAATAACTTCCTCCCCTGTAAGAAATGTGACTCATTTTGTTAATTAAAGCACCTCAAGATGCTTCGATTCATGAAGAGCATTTGATTCTACCACATCTGGATGATAAAAGATTTTTTAATTTTAAAGTCAATTTGACCACTTTTGGCCCCGCCCATCAGCCCCTTTGGGACAGTCAGGATCAAAATGGGCATAATATCAAGCCATTATCCTTCACTCATAATTTAAACCAAGCTTAAAATATTTCCAATGGAAATTAAACAAATTATGCTCAAAAATCTAGTTTTCCCATATAAACTACACAAACTTTATCCCCTCCCTTACGGGAAAATATGAGACCCTGGGGTCATAAAATTCACAATTTTAGTAAAGCACCTTAATATGCTTCCATTTATGAAGAGTATTTGATTCTACCATATCTGGGTGTTAAGAAGATTTTTGAAATCTGAGTCAATTTGACCCTTTTTGCCCCAGCCCCTCACACCACTGTAGGGTTGGGACTGTATAATTCACACCCCTCACACCACTGTAGGGTGGGGACTGTATAATTCACTGTTTCAATTCATCTTAGGCCAGGAAAGGTTTCTGAAAAATTTCACTGAAATCAGATCAAGAGTTTTTGAGAAGTCGAAAATGTTAAATTGTTTAAGAACACACAATGCCAGATGAAGGTGATCGCAATAGGTCGCCATGAGACTTTGTCACCACCATAGGACATCGCACACCACACCAGTACATTTCTCATCTTCCCATGAAATGTAAACCACCACAGGACATCCCACACCACACAAGTTCATTTCTCAGCTTCCCAAGAAACACAGACCACCACAGAACAATCCACACCACACCAGTACATTTCTCAGCTTCCCAAGAAACATAAACCACCAAAGGACATCCCACACCACACCAGTACATTTCTCAGCTTCCCAAGAAACATAAACCACCAAAGGACATCCCACACCACACCAGTACATTTCTCAGCTTCCCAAGAAACATAAACCACCAAAGGACATCCCACACCACACCAGTCCATTTTCTCAGCTTCTCAAGAAACACAGACCACCATAGGACATCCCACAACACCAGTTCATTTCTCAGCTTCCTAAGAAACATAAACCACCACAGGACATCCCACAACACCAGTTCATTTCTCAGCTTCTCAAGAAACATGAACCACCAAAGGACAACACACACCACACCAGTTCATTTCTCAGCTTCCCAAGAAACATGAACTACCAAAGGACAACACACACCACACCAGTCCATTTCTCAGCTTCCCAAGAAACACAGACCACCACAGAACAACCCACACCAGACCAGTTCATTTCTCAGCTTCCGAAGAAACGTAAACCGTCACAAGTAGGGAGCATCAAACCACGTACCTTAAACATGTTTGTCAATTTTAGAAGTGAAAGTATGAGGAATTGTAATATACAGTCAAACTTAATCATTCAAATTTGTCAATGTATCAAATTATTATAAATCTAATCTGTAAGCTATGATAACGCAGTCATTGACACCTCATAATTCAAAACATTTACGTGTACAGCACTGTACAGGTATTTTCACTCCAATGCAAAATTTCACACATTTAAACAAAGAGTGCTACCTGACAATTGCACGTAATTTCATTTCAAATTACATATAATTATTATAGATTTTAAGATAAAAAATGACACTTTTTACATAAATTTGTATTTTTGTAATTGTTGTGACTATTCAGATAGAAATTTTGTGTCATGAACTATAAAAATGTCAATATAACCCATTACAAATGATTTGAAATCTCGATGTATCTGGGTTTATCTGCTAGTCCTTTGAACTTTGAAACATGGAAGTTTGACTGTATATTCCAATACCATTTCATTGTTTCAATAAAATCTAAAAAAAGTCAATGTGGTTCCACTAAGGTGACCAACACCGAAGTTTTATGCTTACTTTTTTTAAGCAGTTTTCCTGAAGAGAATGTCAACATTTCCTACCTATCTACAACTATTCAGAAATAAAAATATTTCAAGGCCAACTTACTCTATTAATTCTGACATGTCAACAGAAACATGTTAATTTTTTTAAAGCCTAAAGAAAAACTAATATTCACATTTTCAGAGCATTTGTTTCCGATCTAATAGTGATGCTTCCAGTGGACATGTAAAGTAATTACCTGTGGATTTCCTGTGTCAGCGCCTCTGCCTCGTCCATCAATCTCTGCTGTCTCTACAATACAATCAACAGTAAAACACCACATAAGTAAGGTCAATACCTGTATAAATACCAGTATGTGTGACTAATTTGGAGAACAAATATAATGTACATATCAATGAACACCACGAAAGAGTATCTCAATTATCACTACCTAAGATAACACAAGGTCCACAGGCCATAAGGGTTTTCTGCAAACTTGAAATCATATTTATGTATCCACTACACAAATGCAATTACTACAGACAAATTGCTTGTTGAAAAAGCATGTTACTGGCCCAATATCAAGAACCTTGGCCTTTTTTGGTCATTGAGAAGATGTTGCTTATTCATTTCAACTCATTTGACCCCTGTGGTTTTGACAGTAGGTCAAGGTGAACAAACTTGGTAGCCCTTCGACCCAGATCCCTGGGTCAAGGTAATTCATTTTAACAAACTCGGTGGCCCTTCATCCCAGCATGCTATCAGTATCAGGGACCTTTTGATTATTGAGAAGTTGTTGTTTAAAGATTTTGACATATTTGACACCTTTGACCTAGAATGTAGGTCAAGGTCAGTAATATGAACAAACTTGGAAGCCCAGAATGCTAAAGGCCAAATATCAGAACCCTGAGCCTTTTGGTTATTGAGAAGTTATTTGAGAAGTTATGATGAAACACTTTGGCCCTTTGGGTCAGATTACATAAAAATATTTTGTTTAAATTGCTTACACCTGCACCAATCATGCAAAATTTTGATAGCGATAGCTTTATTTATTTATTTATTTATTTTTTTTTTTGTTGGGAGGGTTAATTTCAAGCAAAAATTCCAATACTTCTGAAGAAAACCTGGAAATTTCTTCTTTTATTACCTCTGTTTCTATTTGGTCCTTCAGCTCATCAAGGGACACAGCCAGTAACTGGGTTTTTTTCACAAGCTTTCCCACATTACTAAACTACAAATCAAAAATATCAAAATTTGATAAACGAACATGACATACATGCCTGACAGTTATTTTATATATAACCATAATACATCAATATCCCGGAACTAAACAGAAACATGGAAATTAGCTGCCTTAGTTAAAATGTAAAACACTATCTGATTGTGTTCCTCAGCTCTTACTCCTTATTAAACAAATGTTTATCTTTTTCCTGCCTCTTGAGAAAGTTACACATAGATTCTTATCAGAATCTTCTGACTACTCTAACTTTGGTTTCCTCGTCCCACTGTGAGAGACCCCTATTAGTAAAATTACTGTCTATCCAAACAGTACACTTCCACAAGGAGATCTCGCCTAAAACTTACCCTGGTTGTTCAAAGGGTGGTTAACTAAGCAAACAAAAACACACGATATAACATAAAAGATTTGTATCCAGGAAACACATTACTATAGAAGTATTCTTATTACATATCACACCACAAACTGTCAGAATAATCTGAAAACTGTAAACACAGGACTAAACCCGCACTGTATGTTGGTGTAGTCAGTGGTGGTCTGTAAACTTTGTTATGGATAATGTGAAAACTGTAAACACAGGACTAAACCTGCACTGTATGTTGGTGTAGTCAGTAGTGGTCTGTAAACTTTGTTATGGATAATGTGAACACTGTGAAGGAACATACATTCACAGCAAGACTGTGGTGATTGTTGTTGTTCTACAAACTTCATGATAGTCTGTGGTAGTCAGCAGAAGTACATGTGTTGGTAAGAAAAGTAGAGAGTAGTGGTGTGTAGTAACACAGAAAATCAATTAAACCCGCCCAGAGATCAAAAACCATAAAGAATAGAAAATATACATTTAGATCATCTCCAAACAGTAACTACATATACTTTTGTTTATATGGATAGTTTACCTCAGTTTCTTGTTCTGTCTCGTCTTTAAGCTTTATATAAACTCTCTGGCCCTCATAACCTGTTGTACCTATAAAATCTCCTGATGGTATTCTTTTAAACACTCTTTTTCTTTCAAAATCATAATCTGTTGATAAAAACAAACTAGATTTACACACATGAATTGTTTCACAACACAATAATGCGACTGTGTCTAAACTACCTGAAACATCAATAGCAAATCACTTATTTCTCTGGGAAATAATTTCTTTAAACCATACTTTCATTGAAATGTTTTCTTTAGCTTGAAATGTAAGCTTTATGGCACAGCATTTTCTTCAGGTTGGTTATGTCAACAGAATAAAAGTTCTTATAACACAACCAGTAGAAGATAAGAGTGTGACATTCTGATGACTACACAGTCACCTTATAGTTCCTATAACACAACTAGTAGAAGATTAGTGTGTGGCGTTCCGATGATCACACGGTCACCTTATAGTTCTTACAACACAACTAGTAGAAGATTAAAACGTGATGATCTGATGACTACACAGTCACCTTATAGTTCTTTTAACACACCTAGTAGAAAATTAGAGATTGATGTTTTCATAACTACACTGTAACCTTCATCCATTTTCAGATACCTACTACATTTTATTGATGCAAACATTTTCAAATGTTGCAAATAGAAGGCTTCTTTAAATTGTTTAAGTGACAAAATATAAGTAAGGAATAGTGGAATAACTAAGGAGTATGAAAATTAATTCTTAACATCATCATTCAGATACTTTTAAATCATTTGGTGTCATATCGTCACCTGCTTTAGAGGCATTCTAACACTTTCTGAGAAAAAGATGGTAACAGTCCTCAACTTAAATATAGCAACTAGATGGCAAATCCTGTTCTTGTAACCATTTTTTGAAATGAAATATTTACCAAAAGTAGCACTGGATATTCCTATCAAATTTGGCAAATGTACAAGAGATAACTTTTTCCAATGTGATCAATGACTTACTAAAATTACATACATGTATAACAATGGACAAGGGCCACTAATATTTGGAGTTTGACAAACAATATTTAGTGGGTAAAATTTTAATTAACCAGTGCATCTTTACCGTGTACTCAGGTTGATTTGCATAGTTCTAACTTCTAAACTGGACAATCTGTTAAATATAGGCTTTAAAGCAAGATAATATTATAATTAAAATATTGATGTTCCATGTACCAGTATTTATGAAGCATTGGAATAAATTGTGATAATAGTTCTTTTTTAATTCTTATAAGTAACCCTTTTCAAATTAACATCAACAAAGCAATGCTTGACAGTCTAGGAAGAAAATAACAACAGATTATGACATCAACAGGTATAACTCACTACGTTATATACATACATTTACAACTGATGATGAAAATGATACTGCTCGTGTTTTACTGTTCATTGTGTTTCTAGTTTATTAACTTTTTCTATATTTACATATATACACAAGCCTAAACATCATTACCTTGTGTAATATTTCTCTGATTGCTTGCATTTGGACTGCCTTTGTCAATTGTCTTTTTGGTACGAATGGCTAGGATCTTCTCTTCAGCAGATGGAGAGGCTGGTGGAGTTACATCACCCCCATTTTCTGGCCTTGTTCCTTCTAATGCATCACTTAATCTCTGTCTCTTCCTTGCAGGTACATCTGATATGTAACAAGAAAATAGTTCACTGAGATGTTTGAAATTCTGGCCTTGGTATACTACCACTTTACATCTGCCAGTCTAATTATCATGTATGTGTTTATGGAAATGAGAATGACTCTTCTGTACCGCAGTTGATAGATCAGTAGTTGTATTCTCAGATTTTGAGTGCAGAATTTCAAAAAAAAAAAAAAAGATATACCAAACCTCATAGTGATGTACTACTTACCTAAACTAGGTAAGCACATCATGTCATCAAAGTCTTCATCTTCAGACAAGGTTGAAAACTCATCTTGAGATCGACCCCTTTTTTCTGACCTAGACTGGTTTGTTTTAGGTGTCTTGGAGGGGCTATATAATAGAGAACCATTGATTGGTGCTGCAGGACTTTCCAGTGGGGTAAGATTAATGCTATCATTTAGATCCTCTTTACCTGCCTTGGATTTAGGTGTTTCAAAGTTTAAAGTCCTTTTTGATTTCTGGGGACTATAGGCAGGAGCTGTAAAATACAACACAGAAATATATATACGTTTAAAAAATTAATAACAAAAACATACGCTTCTTAATTGTTCATTCTTCACACTACTATAATAACAATGATATCCCAGAAGGAATCATTTATTACATCAAGGTGTACTCTTTATGTTGTATGCAACAAAAACTATACAATCAGGAGTAGAACTTCAATGTCTAGACAATTCATCTTAATTCTTCAACACATTTTGTTCAGCAGTGTCCCTGAATGGCTCAAAGAACATTTTTTGTGATGAGGTTTTGGCCACAATATTGGTTTTTGTTACATTCTGTTACACTAGAATCCATACAGCACTGCCATTGATATAGCATCACTCAATTATGTCCTGTTACCTTTTTCGGCAATTGACAGTACTTGTTAAGCATTAATGAGAAATTCAGTCAGATACAATCTACATGTGATGTCAAAATATTAATGCGACTGACTACCAGTATGTATAATAAACAGTCAAGGACTGACGGAGGATCTATAAAAGGTACACATATGTACTGATTTCTCATCGTGTAAGCCTGACCTGGTATGTGGCTTCACAATTACCTGTTATCTTATGTAACTTTTCCTGACATCTTTTTATGTTATCACTGTGTAGTAGGCGTAAAGGGATTAACTGGGGATTTATTTGTTGGGCCTAATAATCAAAGACACTTCTCGTAATCATATGATACTTGCCTTCAAAATCTTCCATAGCATCGAGTTCGTCAGCATAGTCAATGTCAAAATCATCTTCCATGGTGGAAAATTTGTTGGTCACTGTTTGTTATTGCCGTAAACCTTTTTTTCTATTCACTGTGTTAGACTTTCCGATCAGCTGTTTGTTGATTTTCTTACCGCCGCCATATTGTCTTTCCCGCGCAAGTCTTGCTCACATATACGCTTGAGCTGGAATGTGCTTCATGTAACTTTGAAAAAGTCTCCGAACTCAAACTTTGAACAGAGACGTATATCTTGTGTTGTATATGTCTCTGCTTTGTACAAGGAAAGAAAAAACAAAATTATTCCTGCATCACTGCAATTACATGTAACCAAAATATTCTGTATTACGATGACTGTCAGTATGGACGATTTTGACTGTGATGTCTTTTTAAATGCTGAAAATATCACTCTTTTCTACGTAACAATAAATTTGTTTGTATTTAAAGTCCTAAAGTATTTTTTTATATTATTATCTTCTCCAATGATGAAGAGTTACAGCAATAGAGGGGAAATATAATATCTATTCGAACAATATTGGAAAAAAAGAAACTTACATGGAGACATACACACATTTACACAGACAAACACATACATACACAAGTTCACACAATAATTCGTTCAACGATATAGAATTAAACAAATCACCTTTCAATAATACATTAACATATGATTTGTGTGTTCGTCTCATGCTAAGAGTTCAAGATTCATTTCACAACTTTAGGTATTAAACGATATACTACAGATTTTCCTTCGACCTCCATACAATGATATATGTATTTACGTGAACGCGCGAAAACGCAGTGTACATTGGACTTCATGACTTGTGCAACACTATCATAGACAATGCTTATGCCTGATTAAATTACAGGCCACTGTGTTGTAGGATTTAGTAATAATGATAATTGAGATAATTTTAAAACCCTCCAATTCCTATGGAGATAAATCATAGTTAAGGATACCGCCAAGGAGATCATGAAGTAAGTGGTAATTAGACACAGAGACGTATATATGTGATATATCTGATATATACGTCTCTGTTAGACATTAAGATAAGATATATATGAGTGGTATAATAGCATATATTTAGGGTCACGAATTTCCACATACGGTTTGACAATTTTCCTAAATGTACATGAAATTATGGGAAACGTAAAGTAAGTTTCCATACAGCATACGGTTGCAACTTGTTTTGGAGGAATCACTGTTCAGTTTCACATAGATTTTACTTGTACAAAACTTGTATAGTTGCTGACTAATTTGTTAGGGAAAACACCACCTTTCAAAAAATCGTTCAGTACAAGTTGTATTTGTGTAAAATATTCATAATTTTAGGAACTAAACCTCAGTTTTAAAAGGACAGATTGAATTCTAGTAGGCGTTTAATAAAAGCTCACGTGTTACACAGACACCTTCCTATTCTACCAAGCAATAATATTTTCATTGATATATGCTTCAAGTAGAAACCAACTAATCAGCGATGTTCACATATCTGTTCTTGTTCTTACATTAAAACCTTGGACTGATTTTACAATGTAGTTTTGAGCTTTTTTTCTAACTCATGTAAATTTCATTTTGTTTCGATTGCCACGATTCACACCCAGACACTGCTGACGGGTATACTTTAAACTTCACATTTTGGCAATAGTAATAGCATTGTATAACAGTAAGGACACATGTATGTGCCCCCGAAAGGATTAAAGACATAACTCATTTCATTTATAACCTGCACGTTCTGAACGTTCAACACTGTTATATCTACTGTTCAATAAGACGCCAACATGAATTGTATTTTCTACAATTGGTTGTTGCCTTCCATATAAAATGACGTCACAATGAACATTGAATTTCTGGGTTTTTTTTTCTTTTTTAGTGAAAGCAATAATTTTAGATTTAATGGGTGGAAATATAAATCTCCAATTCGTAATATATAACTCGCAAATATTGGTCTTGGTGTCTTTTTAAAAGCTGAAAATACCAGATCTTTTCTACGTATCAATACATTTGTTTATATTTGAAATATTTTTTTATATAATTTTCATAAATGACCAATTGATAATGTTTGTTTTATTGCGATTAAATAATCATATATCTTGTTTCGAAAATGGAATCGGTGACACAATTTCCTCTTCTAAACCTCCATACATAATTACTGAATAAAATTTCATTATTTTTAACGTTTTGTTACAAGGTGATGCTGTTACAATGTCAAACTTGTCGTAGATGTCTGAAAACAACGTGTCAGAATTTAGAAATCTTCCAAATACAATATGAGTACATTAACTGGTCGTCATTTTGATCGGTGTGTCGTTTCGCCTGAATAAACGAATGGGCCCGGTTTAGCCGGTCAACCGTTTACGCGAATGGGACTTTATACCTGAGTTTGTCGGAATCAATCAAACGCTTAGTATTTGCGTGTAAGTGCTTGTTAAAATATCCTCGTTGAAATGGCCTTGGAATTCACTATCAAACCTGTCAGCCTATCTTTAGTTCTATTTATTGCTTTGATATGTCTTTGTAAACAAATGGCATGGGCGGGTTGGACTGCTGATGGAGGATATGAAGGAGCGTATCCGGGTGGATGTACGAAGCTCACTGGGTAAGATTGAATTGTTGATCTTTTTATAGATCAATGACGTGTCACGATTGCGATCATCACGACATTTGATTTGTCGTACGCGTTTTGCTTAAATTTTGACGAAAAGCAGAAATTTATCAGCCCAATTCATTGAAAAGTTGATACAACATTTTAATTCTTTAAGCTTATTGTTGTATTCGAAATACCTTATGCAAAAATAAATTTTGTTCTACCTAACAATCATGGTCGGTACGTAGGAGAAAAGGTCGCGATTAAAAAAATATTGACAAACAATTTAGATTTTGGTCAATATATGTGCAAGTAATACAGAGTTATCATATTCAGAAAAGTTGCATAAGAGATGCATACTTGTTCCGAACTCGTGATCTCACCAGTAGTCAAGTTTTTGTGAAAGTTAATGATGTTATCCGTTGTTGTCCATTTATTTATTGAAGGATGTATAATACAACTTCACAAATATGAATGTTTTATTTCCCCAACCATAAAAACAAAACTGTCATAATATTCCAGTTAGTTTTGATGACCTGGGAAGAATGTATGCATTTATGGGGATTGCCAGCAAACAAAACATGAGCAAAATTATAAGGGAGATTTTAGAGCAACTAAGGTTGGTAAAAAAAAGGTCTGTTGGGAAACTGGATACATAATGGGTTTTATTGGAGATAATTAAACTTTAGTTATACACAAAGTGTCCATGATTGCAATTGCATGACACATTTTGCATAAAGCATTTAGCATAATGCATTTTGCAAAGACGCTTTTGCTCTGGATATCATGAAAAAGGCCATCGGTATGTTGTTCTGTGAGTTAGCTACCAGCTTTACCACAAGGAAACCCAATTTCGAAATTACTCTGGTTGTTCATGGGGCTATAAACTCAGCAAAACAAATCATTGGAAATCATGTGCAATATTTATGTAGAAATAAGCCCGGAGGACATAATTGGACTGCAGTTAGAGATAGAACATATCACTGGACAATTTCTATTGCAAGTACATTAACTTCAATAGATGTGATGTGTCTAAATTCAGGAATGGGCTTATTGTTAAGTGGTATCATCAAGAAATGAATTAACTTTATAATTCAAATATGATTTTGTTATAAGTTTGTACATTTGACGCTCCTTTGAATTACAGAGAATGTCCAGAATTTGAACACTGCATCTATGATGAAGAAGAATGCCGTCCTGGTAGTAATTTATGTCGTTGCATGTATGGTAAGTCTAATGGACAACTGGATGAAATTTTCCTTTCATTTCTATGTAAGAAATGGAGATTTTGTTTCTACACTACTTTCCATGGCCTCCATTCACACAATATTGCTTCAGTTTTGTACAATAAGTACAAGTATACCTTGTTGTACTCGGGGTGACCTCTGCTGTGAAAAGGAGGCATATGTACCGATATATAGCATACATGTTATTGCTGTAAAATTTGACAAGGAAAGAAATATTTATATAAAGAGCACAAAGCCCGAGCAGGGACACCCAATTATGAGTTTTTTAACACTACAGAACGGTGAAGTGAACTTGCCAAACATCAAGGATTAACTGAATGCCCTGCCAGCTTAATGTATCGATGCAAGTTCAAAAATTGCCATTTAAGGAATTAAGTAGAGTGGAAGTGGGGTGTTACACTCAGCCTTGTTATACACCAGATACTGAAAGTTCAAGGAGTGAACCAGGTATTATAAACCATATATTTTCTGCTTAGGCTGTGTGATGGATGGACATTACTTACGTTACGAGCAGTGGCGAAGACTTCCTGGTAGAGGCATCTGCATGTGTGAAAACCCTACTAAAAATAAAGTAAGTACTGTATCATCAAATCCATGATTTGCATTCTTCATATCAGATATTGTTGAGATGGTATATATACTAGATCAACTAAATGGAGCATGAAGAAATAAGATACACATAATGGTTTCACATTGAAAACAAAGCCAATCTGAATAAAACCAGATCTTAATTCACTACAATACTCTCCATCCTTCAAGGCATTTTGAAGAGATATATTTTAATCACATTCACAGTGTAAGAGATGTATTTTATTAGATTGAATACAAAATATGCTTCATTGTATATTGTAGAGATAACACAACAAATGATAGTGGTATATAGTATTTCTTACACTCAAGTTAAATATTTTTCAAAAATGACAAGCTTCTGCGAGGATTTTTGTAACTTTTGGAAAATAAAACCAAAAAGGGGAGTTAAGAGTCAACACTGGGTTGGTTTATGATAGGTTTCTAGTCCCTTCTGTCTGGAAACCCGAAAGTATGCAAAATGATTGAGGGATAAAGAAGAAATATTACGGGCTTGGAGGTCAGGAGAAGCCCGAGAGGGAGAAACTGGTTGTCAACAATAAATCTAAGAACACAGCCTCTTCACCTGTCGTGATTGACCTTTGTACCTCTAATATTTTGAAAAATAAGTAACAAGAGTGTGTTTTGTGTATATCATCAGATTGGAGGTAATGATATGACCTTCAGTGAAATGCTGCTGATAAATATGCAAAACTGATACTTTCAGAAATATATGGATATATCGTAACTCATTAAAACTAAAAATGCATTGGTTTATTTTCAAAGCAAAACAAGATATAAATACAGATAAAAAAATCATGTTACATTTTTTCCAAAATAAATGTGAACTATTCATTAGGCATTATAATTTCCCCCAGTGTGTGAAGCACCTTTTTGGTCAAAGTTTATGCTATCTGCCAATGAAAACATGCTAAAGTGTTAAACCATATGTGGTAAAATCATATGACATGTATGTTGTAATATATGATGCCTTGGATTTTGAAAAACACTCACCTATTGTCACAGTGGTTGAAAAAGTTCTTTAATTGGTTCAAATTTTGGATATTTTATAATTACCGAAGACTTGATGCATAGGGGATGTATTTCCCAAAGAAGCAATGGGTCATGAATGGGCTACATTTCTTTGAACATGTATTAATTTTGGGCAGTTTTATTACATCCCAGATATTGCAAAAAATAAAACCCCTCAAAAGTGATAACATTTAAAATATAAAACAGTATAGCAGATTACCAATAGATTTAAGAGAGCAAAGGAAGTGACAAATATTGGTATATATTGCTGATATTGTTTGAAAATATTGAACACATGTTTGATATACCAAACATCAAATATATGTTTTGAATATACCAAACATCAAACAGATGTTTGAATTTACCAATCATTACACAAGGACTTTAAAATTAAATAAAAAACACACTTGTTGACTTTATATCAGTATATATTAACAATATGTGTTATAAGAAAAAGTATTTTTCCGTCATACCTTGTAATTTTTTGTTGTCATTGTAATGTTTTTCTTTTCTTTTCAGACAAAATGTGTGGAGCACTTAGATGAATTCTAAAAGATAATTGTCAAAGACAGAAAGTGGGAAGACTCTGAAAACCAGCATTTTTATTTTGTTTTTTAATATTTCTAGTACAATATGGTATGGCATGATAAGATCGGAGATGTTTACCATAAAAAAATTTCTAGGCTGGATTTTTTTCATTACAAGGTCAACTGGTTTACTTATTATTTTCCCTTAAAATTGAAAAAATGTAAGTTAAAATACAAGGGGAGATAAATGTGTTTTGACAGTGAGGGAGATCCATTTTTTTATGGTGATCTGTGAATAAAATGAAGATCTGGGGTAATGTTAAAATACATCATATTTAGTAGGGAAAGTTTGTTTGGGATACGCAATATACACATTATAAATTTGAGATTTTTCTTGATTTGTAGTTGTGTGTTATAATAGATATATAGCTATATGTATGCATAACCTATTTGTATTTTTATGCTATGTTGGGGGAGAAAATATTTTATTAAATATTATGCAATATTTCGATGGATATATACTAATAACATATTTTACTTTCAAATAATAGCTCACTGAAATTGTCTCCTGTCAGCAAAGCTTGAGAAGAATTTACAACATTTATCTCTTTCAAAAGTAGCCTTTGTCATTAGAAGCCTGGAATGAAAACCATTTGACAGTTAATGTTATTTTTCCTTCAGGTCTCAACTGGTTTGGTCTTTCATTTAGAGAACTTTGGTAGTTTTGGGCAAATCATGACTTTCTGTCTGTGTAATAGATTGATGTTATCCAGCCATTTTGTCCTGCAAGATAAAATGTCATTTCAGTGTTAATGAAAGGAAATCATATTCTACCATGTCAGTGCCTATTTATTCTTGATTTCCAATTGATTGAATAATAATTAACACGCTATGTACGAAATATTTTTTTATCATTTTTACAACATTCCACTTTTAGTCTTGTGTTAATATGTATTGTTGTGGACACAATTGGTTGAACAGATATAATGTCCTGTTTTCTGATATCCTGAAACTTGAACATTCCATTGGTGATAAGTGATTGTAAGAAATTAACAACACCTGATAAGAATTGAAATGACTTTACAGAAGTAAGCAGATATTTATTTTCAGATATATATTGTATGTGTATTGCATATCTTCAAAGCATTTGTAATTGTTATGGTAAAAAATACTTTACTTGGTGCATTGTTCTTAGGAAAAAACAAAAGAAAAACCCACAAAAGTGTTGTTCTTGGAAATCCGTTTCCCTGTGCCAAGGTATGAATTTATCTTCATTTAGGTTTGAAATCCAGACATGTTTTGTGATTTTACTTGAACAAATACATAGCAATAATTAAATGGCCTGATATATTCGACAAGAGAAATAGAAACCAGATAAATTTACTTTTGTTGCCCAAAAATACTCATTTAATTGTTAGTCATTCCCTGCAAAGTGTGAGATGGAACAGATTTTACAACTGGATCAATGTTTTATATTGAGGAAAAATTCCAAAATGAGTAAGGTTTAAATCGTACTCATTAGACATGTAGGAATGTCTTCTCATATATTTACTTTATCATAATACATCTACTGGTGAATGAATCTTTTGCAATCCTTAATATGAAGTATGATTTAGTTGTAAATTTTGTAAATGTGGGTCCTGTTAGTTCAACATCACAATGCATACGACTATGTTTGTGATAAAAATAATGAACAATGTTGATAGATATTTAAAGTTGTGTGGTCATGGGAAGAAAAAATGGGTATAATAAATGTTAAATTTTCAGACATTTTAACGTTTTTTAATCCACAATGAAATTATATATTATGGCCTTGTATGGCAGATCTTGCATAATATGGTCTCATTTTCTATCATTATATGTATAGAAGAGGGTCACTTTTCGTGGTTTTTTTTTTTGTTTATTTAATACAGCTTTATTCACAATCTGGTGATTATGTACTCTGTATGTAATATTATACACAATACTTTATTTCCTAAAAGTGCATGTTGCAACCTAGTTTAATCAATACATGTAGATTCCTATTTTCAAATGTATCATAACTGTTACTTAGTTTCAATACTTACCTTCATTTTTTATTTTTATAGTGTACGCATTTAAAATAAAATCAAACTTGGCTCAGTTAAGAATTATAAAGCATTAAGGCAAACATTAGTTTCCTGTAATACCACTTGCCAATCAAAAGCAAGAAAAAAATTCTTCAGCTTCTGGCTTGTTGGATTGTGGAAAAGAGGATATATAGGGAATGCCATGTATGCATGGTCAGCCATTGAGCTCTTCTGAAGATTTTGTTATTAAACTATTAATAGCCTAATGCATTAGTGACCTCTATTCTTTTGCCATATATTTTCATCTGTGGAAATTTTGCTTGAGTAACACTTACCCTATTTATGATGAAATCAACTTTTTTTCCCCCATTTCCTCTGATTTATTTCAGAGATAGACCATGTTTAGATATTCATGAATGGGTTTATGTCCTCAATGACAGAATTTCAGCAGAAGAGGATACTAGTCAGCTTCAGTAACAGTCAACAAATTGAATTAACTTTACAAACTGTAATCCTACAGATGTTTAAGCAACTTTAAACTTACTCCAGGTGAAGCCTCTTTTTCTATTTTTGTTGATGTCTTGATTTGATATGATCCATTAATTTGTATACATGTACTGAATCAGTAATACATGTGTAAATATATGTGTATGTGTGAGGGCACATTTTATTATTGTCTTTTTTTATACATTTATTGATGCAAATGTAATATGTTTTGTATAGTAAATGGGTGATGAAATATTTACTAGACTGTAACAGATTTTTTTATATCACTGCATATCAATTTTCTGACCAATGATAAGAAAAAATGCATGTGCATGATTCCAATCTGTGTTTGTGAATAAATGTCATGCTTTTGTTTGACATATTTTGATTTAAAGAAAAAATCTATGGCAAAATATTCCATTTTACAAAAGTATCAACATGCATGTGTGATTCTTATTGTTACATTCCTTGCCATACCAGTTGAAGAAGTTCTGTTGGAAACTCTGCTTTCACCAAACTGCTGACTTCATTTTAAATTACTTTAAACATGTGTTACTTTTGGGAACAAAACTTTTTGAACTGATTTGATTTTTTTTCAATTACACTACTGCAGAGATCGCTTTACATGTGGTTTCCTAGCATGATCAGTCTCAAAATTAAAGAGCATCACAGACCTAGATGCCAAGGAGAATTTGCACTTGAAATTTGAGAAAGATCAGTCTCGCACTTCTTGAGATATAGCAATAACAAACTTGTCAAAATCCAATATGGCTGCCTGTCAGTCTTTTTGTGGTCGTTTCCAAAATCAAAAGCGACACAACTAGGGACCAAGAGGAACATACAAATGAAGTTTGAGAAAATTCCATTAAATACTCCTAAAAAAATAGTAATATTACAAAAAATTGACTGACATATCACAGATGCAGGGTGTGACATAGAAATCCTGGGACTTGTTGGATGAGTAATTTGTCAAGTGTAGATAAAGATTCCTTTCTTGTAGTAATAATTGTGAAGTTTTTTAAAAGCTGATTAAAAGATAAAAGTTATTTTGAAGGTTAAATATCAATTTTATACGTCCATCGAAAGATGGGTCATGTTATCATGCGAGCGTGGGAGCAGGCAAGCATATGCAGTGTCTACTTGATAACTTGAGTAGTTCAGAGTGAGGTTCATTACCATGATAGTTTGATCACAGTAGTTTTCTGATCAAAATTTTTTGGTCATGGCCCATTTAATCAATTACTGAAACAGTGTCCCCTTGATATCACAAGTAGTCATCAATGGAACAGCTTCAAACTTCATAGAATGGTTCAATGTGATGATAGCTGAGACAAGTTTATTTACAGTAGTTTTAGGACCATAATTCATGGAGTGATGGCTCTTTATTCAGTTATCAAAACAGTGTTTGCTCGATATTTTGATTAGTTTTCAACGGATTAACTTAAAACTTCATAGGGAGGTTCATTACCACTACAGATAGGAAAAGTTGGAAAACTGAAACTTTCTGCCTGTAATTCACAGAGGTATCGACCCTAATTTCAATTCCCTGAACAGTGACTGCTTGATATCTTCAGCATGTTCCAAGGAATACAATTAAAACATAGGGAGGTGCATTACCACCATAGCTCAGACAAGTTCTGGTACTGTCTGTAAATGACCATGATGTGTTGATTGGACATGGAACATCTCTTTTCTTCCCATTTGCAAAATACTCATTTGGCCTATGACAGGCACATCGTATGCTGCCTGGTGGAACTAATGTTTCATCTTCATTCTATAGACCCGACATTTACAATTACAATCTTCACTCCAGCATCAATTTCGCAAAAAAAAAAAACAACTTATAACAGCAACTGACAATGAAGTATATTCCTGCAAAAATCAGACATTTTCACTCAACTTCCATATTTGCCCAAATAGACATCCTTCCTTCGTTGTAACTACTTGCCAAGAAGCAATGGATCTTCATTCCTTTTCGTCCTTAACCTAGGTATTTTCTTTGCATATTTGTCATTGTTGTTTCTCAGGACATATTGGATGGATAATTGTTTTCAAACTTTCCTAAACCGCCATCAAGACAACTGTAGTAATAGTGGAAATCAAACCTGCCCACAACACAAAACTTACCTTCATCACAGAAACCTGAAAACAAGAGCATCAGTTAAACTGATGAATGCTCCCAGATAACACGTGTATATTGGACACAAAATTGTAACAAGACAATAATTCTGTGTTGAAGGGGTTTCAAGCAATGAATTTGGTACAATGTACATCCTCTCAGTCAGACCAATACATACACCCAGTTTCTTTATCCTAACTTAAATGCACACCAAGATATGCTCTGGATACAAAATTTTAACAAAGGGCAATAACTTTGTAAGGCCCTCAATTTGGTGCACTGCACATCCTCATAGTATGATCAATGTATTTACAAAATTCATTATCCTACTTTTAATGTAAGCAGTTATGTCCCAGACACAAAATTTTATCAAAGGGCAATAATTGAGGGGTCATGGACCCTAATTTTGGTACACTGCACATTGCTTTTGGACGACCAATGTATACATTAGGTTTCATTATTGTAATATGCTCTGGATACAAAATTTTAACAAAGGGCAACAACTTTGTAATTAAGGGGTTACAGACTCCAAATTTGGTACACTGCACATCCCATTTGTATGACAAATGTATACACTAAGTTTAATGGTCTTTGCTTAATTGTTGGCAAAGTTATGCTCTGGACATGAAAGGATTGGCGGAAAGACACAGAGGAACAGATAAGTCAGCGAATAAATGATCCCTTGAAAATTTTCAGGGAACAAATTCCCAGAAAATTTGACCAATAGTTTGAGCAATTCTAAATATCAGAAGTTTACAACCAGCAGTTGTGCATAGATGACAGAGGAGACCCAATGACTACAGGACTGGTGGTGACCTAGAGATTATTCTATAGCATGGACGCATTCTCAGCTAATGTCCTTTCCTTGGTGAATAACTGTATCACAATACTCTTTACAGTAACAATAATAACACACAATATATGAATCTTTATTCACTTTATTCATTATTCATTAGACACATGTATACTGAAATCCTGATTTCAATCTTGCCAGATCTGGAACTAATCTGGTTCTTATTTGAGAATGTCATAAACACGAAGCTAGTTTCATCTTTATTAAAATGGAAGGTTCAACATTTTTCCATAAAGTAATGAATTATTGGAAGATCTCAGTTGGTCTAGTCTGCTATTAATAGCCTATTATTACAACCCTGCCAGCCCTTTAAGATATGCTAAGAAATGGCTTTTTTTAAATACAGTAATTTACTATGTTTACTACTAGAAGTTGATAAAAACCCATTAACTTTGATTCCTGAAACAGCATTGTTAGTAAGTCAACTGGAACCAAACATATTTCTTTTCATCAGAAGTGATTTACATATATATAAACAAACTAAAATCATGCAATGTGAGCATGCACAGAATATAACTTCATTATTCAGAATGTTGACTTTTCTTCCACACATTCCAATAGATTGCAGTTAAACCGTCCAGAAACATAGAAACACATTTCAGACTCCAATAAAAACAGATCTCAGAAATCCTTATTTTGTCAATAATAAATATACACATGTAGATATGTCCATACAATATTCTGAAGTTCTTTGATGTACGTTTACACACAGTATTGGCGAAAAAAATAGGATAAGGAATTGTAGATCTATGTACAGGAATACATCACACACAACATGACATTCAACCAAAACCTTTCATTCCACAAATAAAATCTTTCTTCCCACTCATCTCTAAATATGTATATGATAAAATAACCACAAGAACATCCTTCATGCTCTTTTAATGTTTCCTTCATACTGTTTGTTGGACGTTAATATAAAGTCTTCTTGTTAAAGTTGTATTTCAGAAATATGATCACTTTCTTTATCATAATCCAACACATTGTATCACAATAATGCTACATTTTAAAATTAATTTAAAATCAAGACTTGTAACGTACTTCACACTGCAACTCATCAACCCAAACTATTGCCACAGCTGTCTATGTTGTTTTTCAGAGAAGCAAAACAAAGATTTCCAAACAAAAGATAAAACTTGGCACTAAATGTTAAAATTTTTTTAGCTGTTGTGTTGGAACTGTCTCAGAATCACAAATTCACATACAACTGAAATTCATGAATCATCTACTGAAACCAGTAGATGTTATCAACATGATCAACTGCCACAGAGTGTACGACTTTCAAAATACAAAATGGTTCAGATGTCATGATCCCTTTCAGGAGCCTGTAGTACCCCTTTATCAGGCCTAAAGAGAGATGAGACAAGGCAAGTATTCATCCCTTGTATCAAATCCATTTCAACGCTTTGGACTTTGCATCAGCTGAACTCTTGACCTATTTTCTATCTCCGCACCGGTCTTAAACCAATAGTCTCATTTCCTTGTATGTCGAGAGGAGCCAGTCCGGGCTGGTACTTCCCCATCTTTAGAAGCACTTCCTCGCCGCATGGCAGAGTTCACTGGCATCATACCTGGCTGCATGGGAGCAGTGGACACCCGTGCAGCCTCACGCTGTGCCTCGGCTCCTGTAGGAATTCCCCTGTGAAGTCTATTACTTGTCCTTCGTTCACGATCCCTTGAGAAAGGCCGAGGAGATTCCGCTACAAATATATAGCACATAGATTAAACATTATCCTTACCATCAAGAAATGTAATGAAATAATATGGTAACGATCTACACTTAAATGCCAAATGGTCATCATGATCAATTTAAAGGTCAAACAAAAATCCTTATAAATTTGATGTTAGCTAGATAACCAGTTGTTATATTAAAATTTCCTATGCAAAATATCGTTCATAACTTACTTCAGAACATTCCCGTACCCTTTTGGGAATGGTAAGCAAGGATGTACGAATAAAAGATGATAAAATACTTATAACCATGACTCAAACAAGTTTTTAATTATTTGAAACTTTGTTTACAAGACTGAGCTTTACAAGCACAGTTTTTGCTGTAAATATTGTTCATTTGACCAAAAACCCATCAGAATTCAGCTAGATGTTAGCATTTTCCTTCTTGAGAGTTTGCCGTTTGTCTTCTATTATCCAAAGAAGTCAACAGGAGGTAGGTATAGTATCACTAAATCAGTGAAATATCATTGCTCTCACAATTCATTGAGGTATCTAATCATCATACAGTGCCCTATAAAATGGAATGAAATTATAACTTCTGTTTATTTTGATGATCATTAAACTGTGTGAAGATTTATGTCTTGGATGGAATGTATATCACTGGGAAAACTTTAAGATAATGAAAATTGAAACTTGTATTAATGAAAAATGAGAGAAATGTAATAAATATATCTTGTTTCTTGATGAATTTCATGTGGTGGGGTGAAAACGTTAATACTTAAAATTTCCATCCCACATGATGAAATATAAACATCAAGAGCATCCTCTCTTTCTGGTGGAAAAACATTTAGCATAGGCAATATACATGTACTATCCTTAACCTAATGTACCAAGGATTTTGTTTTAAACAGGGATCAAATTATTAAGTTAAGTTGAATTAATACAAAGTCATTATAAAAATTATAACCATTTAGGCAATGATCTTTGACTAAAAAAAAAAAAGAAAAAGAAGACAATTTTCCTGAGAGAGAGAGAGAGAGAGGGGGGGGGGGGAAGAAATTCTACAAGACCTAACAACAAAGGATGAGTTATGTGTGTGAGCTAATAGAGAGTCTAGGTACGACAGATTGAAGCCATTCTATAATATGATAACTACAGAAATGTAAAACATCTGGGAGGTATAAACAACAATGAAATACTTCAACAACTTTTATTTTTTCCATTTGTTCCATCATTTACATTAAACACATCCTGTCCATTTACATTCTACCTATCAATATGACTATGGACAATGTTTTGATTTTGTATGTGAACATGTTTTTAAATGAATTTTGTTCTGTACTTACCCTCTATATGATTCATTAATTCTTTCTTGTTATAACTGTCTATAATGGGCCAGTTCTAACTAATGATTAATTAATCTGCCTAGAAAGCTATAATTTACTCTCATCATCGACTACAATATGTATATCCTTAACTACTAAGGTTAACCATATAAATCTTAAATGTGTAAAAATCATATCTGATTCCAGCATAAAACCAGCTCATAGTCTTACAGAGATCTTACCTTACACAGTCAAGAACCAACACATAAAATGAAAAATATGGTGACAGCTGGGGAATGACTGGCTCAGTCACAGAAACAACAAATAAAAAGCAGAAGAGCCGACTACAAAACCAATTTAGAACAACATTTTTGCTGTACAGAACTTCAGCTCACTGTGGAAATAAATTTTACAAATTGTGTTGAATTGGTTAGCATTCAGAGTATTTGAAAACAGTGTCAATATCTGTTGATATGTCATGATATCTATAATGCAGGCCATAGCTCTTCAAAGTGACAAAGGTATCCAACAACATGAGGTTGATGAGGATGGTAAATAAACTGTCACTGTTCACAAGATGAGGAAGTCTTGTGAAGCATGATATATATACGCAAGCCTGGTGCTATAGATAAAGACAAATGAACAAACACAGCTAGCCAATCCTGGTATTACATGGATGTAAATATAGATTTTTGATGGAATCTGGCGAAACAAATGATCAACCACAGCCTGCAAAGCCTGGTATTACATGGATGTAAATGGTGATACTTGAGAGAATCTGGTGGAATACAGATAACCAATCAGAGCTAGCCGAGCTTGGTATTACCTGAATGTTAACATGAATGTAAATATAGATAGCTGACAGAATCTGGTGGAACACAGATGATCAATCTGAGCTTGCCAAACCTGGTATTACATAGATATAAATATATATATACATATATAGTCAACAGAATCTGGTGAAACAGGAATCAAACAGAACTGAGCATGGGTAAATGTGATGACAAATGAAGCAACTGGATGAATATTGCCATGTTTGACAATAAATGGGTAGCTAGCAGGCTAAAGTCAAGTACAAACAAATGGGAAATGATAGGAATCAGCACAGTAACAATGTTTAGCAGACCAAATTTAATGATTACTTCATCCAAATATAACAATCTATTCAATACATTATTAAATACTACACCATAAGTGATGTTGTACCAGCTTCTATCACCTATATAACTGTAAATCACTTACATTTTGCATGGGATTTATTTTCACATTAATACACAAGGAGGGCCAATCGTGACTAAAAATTTCTTCTGAGATTATTTAAATGACACTATTAATGACATCCTTGCTATGCAGTCATCATCTTGCTTTTACAGACACATCTGTTGAAAGTATTTATACCTTATTGTAGCATCACAAACAAATCTGCAAGACATATATTTACTCAATGCTATATCTTTGTTTGTTCGAAAAGTGATAAAATATTTATAATAACAGAGTTTATTGAATTGTAAAGTAGGTAAACCGTCATGATGACTATTGTATAATTACTATAAACATGATTGTACATTTAAAACTGCACCAGCACGTCTGGCATATTTAAGTCCTGTCATCCCACTCTCTAAACAAAAAGCATGTGAAGCTTTCATGTTTGTTTCTTTGTCTACATACTAGCCAATACTCCAGCAGATATAATTCAGTATTTACACAGCATGTATCACATGTCCGAATCACTTTTCAGGTATAGTAACGTGACTTTATTTAGCTCAATGGCGGCCATTTTGAAGCTAACAGTTTCCGCGGCCATGTCTCGAACAGCTATTTACGAATTCAGTCATTTCTAGTTCAGCATTCCTGATTTCATCTTTTTGTGAATATGTCTGCATAGATGAGATCGAGATATAAAGCATTAGCAAAATCTAAGTGATTTACAGTACATAGCTAACTTATAATAGAAATCATATCACACTCACTATAGGGTTTCCCCTTTGAACTTTTAAATCTTCACAGTATCAAAATTGTGTAAACAATACCTGGACCCTAGCAATGGACTGGCTGTGTCATTTATAGAGTAAAACATCTTTTAGCTAATTACAATCAGTTTGTCAAGCTAAACGTTTGGACTAGTCACTCTTTTCAGTTTTATTCTAGATAGCAAATTATTTTGCTATTCAATAGTATTTATTTTAGATCATAATTTCTGCTATGTAAGGAATCTGCCAATAAACTATCAATGACGTTTCTCCATAGTCTGATATATATTACTGTGCTCCACATTTATGATTAGATGTTTACACTTGTACCAGTAAATTCTGTATTAAAACGTAGTAGAGAAAATGGAATCTTGTTTTCACCCCTATCTATTCATACATCAGCTTTGGTGGAGAGTATATTGTAACAAATATTTAAAGCTGTTCACAATTGGATAACCACAGCATTATATGACAGACGGTCAGAAATTATCACTCATTAACTATGTGAGGGACACAGATTACAGTTCATTAAAAAGCTTAAAAATACTAAATGAATGAAATTTACCAGTATGGTAAGTTTATATTTTTCTTAGCACTTCAGCTCTCTGTATCCATTTTCTTTAAAGACATAGACTTCTGTCTGCTGTTTTAAGACATCAATACTATTACCCAATCTAAGATGCCGTGTACACTTCTTATACAAGTCAAGAGATTTTCCTGACACTTTTGGGAATCACAACTAAGATTGAAAGAGGGAAGAATTAAATCAGCTATATCTAAGTAAATGTTAGAAACTTAAACTAATCCTATTTATTCAGGTGATGTACTTAGCACAACACACTGCAACTCAAAGTACATTGTGCACAGAAATAATTATCCATTCATGATAAATACTAATGATTCATGAAGAAATTCTGGTGATTGGAACAACTCATCAAGTTTCATGGCTTCACTGAACATCTGAGGGAAACTATTGTTGATGAATGTTGTACAAGAGCACCAAAAATGCCACTAGTGATGTGTGTGCATGTACACAAACATACATCATTAACAATTTGACTAGATCCAAATTAGCATAAACTACATAACACAATACCATACTTCTCTCAGTCCACACATTACACACATGTATATTTCAATTTCTATACATCATCTGTGTATATTTGTACATATCAATAACTAAACTTGGTGGCAAACCACACTTTCCTAAAGGCCACATGTATTTTCCTCTTGCCAATAAAATTATTTCACTGCCAAGAGGATGGGCACACACATCAGAATATCCTCCGACCTGAACACCACAAAAAATCTCTCAAGTTTGTCTGGGCTTCAGCTGAACATTGTGGGGGCGTGTATCCTGCATTATGCGGCGGAGTTTGGCACTGTCACTGGGGTTCCCTACAGGGATCGGCAAGCTAGAGCCCTTAAAGCTTATCCTTCCCCCTGAAGATGGAGTAGCGAGTCTACTCTCACTTATCTTACTGTCTGTAACAACCACATCAGCGTTCGACTCTTGCCCACGGGTGGCCAACGATAGGCGAGTTGGCATTCTTTCCCTTGTGCGTGAGGAAGACGCTCGCACATCTAGGACAAAGAAGAAGAAAGAGAAAGACTGACAAACCATTACAACTTCGGAGATCCGAAAATCAGTCCAAAATTTTGAAGTGCTCAAAGGAGAACCAAAGAGGAAAAAGAAACTAAAAAGAGAAAATAAAGAGAAGAAACCATGCACCATGTGCAAAAACCATGCAGAGAATAGTTCAGGGTGTTTGGGAAAACCAAAACAGAATCAAAAAATAAAATAACACAGGCACTAGTTGCATTTAGTTTATTCAAAATACAAATGTACTTTAAACAAAGGAAATTTAAGCAACAACCAAAAAGAATAAAAGCCATGCATGAAAACATAAACAGCGGTGGGATAGGAAAAGTATGGAAAGGAAGTCCAAGAACCATTGCAGTTGCATTAACTTTGAAAAACTGAGGTCAACACATGGGTGGAGGAAAATATCAAAAGTTTAGCAGTAAACAAAATGTGCACAATTGATTTAAACAAGGTCAATCTCTACTAGCCCCAAAATATACCAAATACTTTCTCATCAAATTCCATCAACTATTCTGAAATTTGCATGCATCCAACCTTGTTACAATAACTGCACACTACACTGCTAGTGCTTCCACTGAGAACGTAGCTCTTGAACAGCTAATGTGTATCAGCTACCACAATTGCCAGCACCAAGGAGTACAGACTAGAAAGTGAGGTCACCAGTCCAGAAACAGTGGACAGAGATCTACTATATGTAGTTTCTAGAGGACATGCATACTCCCAAGGGAAGGACAAGGACTACATAGCTCTACACCAGTAGCTGCCAGACTCCAAGTACAACCATGCAGATTTGTAGCCTGTACATCATTAAGAGGTTGTCAGTGTCGCGGACAATAGTGTCAACATTGTTACTGCATAAATATATCATTCATATTTTGTGAAGATAGGTTATAATAAATGTAACCACAAAATACAACGGTCAATTTACACATGAAAGGCAATAATGAATGTATACACTAATGAAATATTAATTATGATGCACATATGAAATGTGTCTAATGATGTGTATGAGAGGCAATGAGCAAGAATCATCCTCATAAATAACCACAAATGCATTTTTTTTTTCACATTTATACTACATACATATGCATGATTTACAGGTTTTTCATCATTCCAATACTTCTAGCATATGAAAAGACAACAAAACCTTCCACCAACCCAAACTGGATATGCTTTTAAAATGCTTTCATGTTAATGCAAGTTTGTTTCTCCATGTTTAGCATTAAAGTCAAAACTCCTACTCAACATACAATGCAAAGAGACAAATACAAATCTGAGAAAAGCACATTTATATATCCCATCCCTCTTGATAAGAAACAGCTAATTAACTTTAGTTACAATACAGTATAACAATAAGTGCTGACTGCAGTAATTTTTCATCTTGTTAACTATAAAATTCCTAAAAGAGGGACAGCCAAAAAGGCATTTTGTCTAATTTGGATACCATTTCTAAGCTACAAGAATATGCAATTTGAGGACACAACTGGAAGGTAATGAAACAATGTTCTTATATTGTTCACACACTACAACTATTAATACTCAATTTACATATAATAATCAGCTAACATTCATCCCTGAATGTAGTTTTCCCTTTTTTATGTCATAATTATTTTATCTTGTAAAATTTAATTTTAAATTAAAATCAGGTTAAGTACACCACCTCCTTCCCAGTCAACATCATCTGGTACAAAGATTGATACAATACATATTTTGACAGATAATTACATGAAGTTATTTTCCATTTCAACATAAACTTATTTACTTTGTAAGAATGGGAATTATACACAATTAAGTAAAGCACAGGAGCAATTGATTCTAGATTTGTACCATTTAATATATATATTATTGGTAATATTTGCTGAGCTTGATCCATATATGCACTATCTATTCTATCATGCATGATCATCAATCATTTAGCATACTTGTTTGTGACTCCAATCAATGCCAGCTGATAAATGATCATAATTGATTCTACCAAATCTAACATAACTTCATGTTGATTGGTCTAACATCAAATTCACAAAGGTATCAAAGAAAATATATCATAATTCATATTGGTGTTGTATATTGTAACTGTCCAATTATATTTAGACACCTTCACCAAAATCAAGACATAAATATCAAAGAAGGTTTTTCCAGAAATAAATATGCAAGAGTAGATATCTGCAACATCACTGCCCTACCAGTGATAAACATCCAATTCTGATTATTCTATAGTACTCAATGTTAAATCATATAAGATGTCTCCTCCCCATATATTGTTTCTGGAATTACCCTTACATGAAATGATCTAACTCTATTCTAACAAGATCATTTCTTCATAACAATAATGAATCCATGCAAATAACAAGAAAAAAATTCTTAAGTGTAATTAATTTTCATATTCAATAATTTTTTTATCCCTTAACTCTCAATAATCTAACAATGAGAATAAAATAAGTGCTCAAGGATGAAAAACAACAGAAGTGTGTGTTGTACATCATATTCAAATTTTCATTTATTACTTGAATCCTCTCTCAAAAACAGTACATCCAAGATTTTTTTATCTTGAATTTCACAGACTTTTGTTATCTACTGAAAAAATAAAATATACAGATCATGGCTGACATAAACCATATTTTAATTTCTTACCTGTGTGTTAAATGACTGATTCAAAGTTGACCAATGACATTTATCAATCTGTGCATCTTTATTGAACTAAGTTTAAAAGTTGCACAGTACATAATTATGAGATTACAGGCGAAAATAATGGATGTCCATGGAGTTAATTTTAGCAATTTTTACTCCATGACATATTGATATTTAGAATCTTGTCAAGAGTTGTTCCAGAGTTGTGCCAAGTTACATGTATGGTAAAGTGGTGTTCGTGATGGTGAGAGCTTGTGAACTTAATTTAGATGTTACAGCTTTATCTGCTACAGATTGTCAACAACATTAGGACAGCAGTGGATGAAGCAACTGTGTGGAGTACTTACTTGTGAAGTCCCCAGGTGGTGTTGTGCCTGGTCCTGGCATCTGTTCACCTCTCATTCGACCACCAGGCACAGCTGTACCATGCAGTGGACGTGCTGATGAACTCACTTTCTGTCGATCATCTACATCACTGTTGCGACCAGTTCCCTAAAAAACATAACATTTTAGTATTATAGATCACACACACCCTTAAATTCCCCTGATATGTAGACATGGTAACAAAAGGACATATAATAATTCATCAACATGGCCTCCATCACCATGGCCTCATGGTCATTAAAAGGCAATACCTGGTTTCAATAGAATAAAATTCAGAACTGTTTGTCAATTATTTTTATCTTCAATTTACTCATCTATAAAGAAACAATTGACAGCTGATAGACCCCATTTAGACCCAGATCTGTCATGTAGAAGCATTGTACTTGTATACTGAATTCTGCTTAATTTGCCATCTTGTGGGAATGAAAATGAATATGACTCCGTCAAAATATACAGATTTAAATCAGCTGTTTTTGTATGAGAGTGACTTACATCTGTATCCAACATGACGAGATTTCAAAATATTACAAGGCTAGATTTGTGATTTCACTTTACTGAAGCTACATTCAAAACCTTAAAACATTTAAAACAGAGCAATAATTTGTTTTTGTTTTCACTTACTTTTTAAAGCAAGTTACACCATTATCCATGACACTTACAAATTTGAGCATATTCCAATCAAAGACATAATCATAGGTGAATCCTTGTCTATGGAACAAATTTCTGAAGAGCTGTCGAAGGTAGGAGTAATCAGGTTTGTCATCAAACCGTAAAGACCGACAAAAATTCAGGTAGGTGGCAAATTCCGCTAAAGAACAAAAAGAAAGTAGTATCTGTTATTATAAACCAAATATCACACTTGAGAAGATCTGAACTGTAACTTGTAGATAAAAAACTTAAAACCTGATCAGTTATGATTAATTACTTTTTTCAAAAATAAAAGGTGCATTATTAAATAAAGAAAATGTAAAGTAAAACTTGTGTCCTTTTTTACACATGTAACATAGCGGCATAAAATAACTTTGAAATCTTAGGCATAATACAATGATCCTGTCAAGTGTTTTGGAAAATCACTGGCAATATTTGAAAAATATTTGAATAATTGATAATAAAGAACTTGTATGATTATAGATATTTTAACCCTCATAATGCCTCAAATAAGAAAGGAGTTTGTAGATCAGATATAAATGACTTAATTAACAATATGGCAATACAATGACCCAATAGATAATTGAGGAGATTCAATCATCAGACCTTATTTTTTTTATATGCGATAAGCTTGTTGGTAATAAAATGGCCAATGGGCAACATTATTAAAATAAACACTATTAATTCAAATTTAACTGCTGATGCTAATTATGACAGTCGTTTTGACTCATTGCCATTAGGAAATGGAGAAGTAAGCAGTACTTTAATATCAGATTATTGAGTCCAAACTAAAAACTCAGACAGGTCCACTTACATGGGAATCCTTTACAGAGCTCCTCTATAGGAGTGGACATTTTCTTTTCACTGATTCTCTCATACTTCTGTCGTTTTGTTGCCGCCTTCAGTCCCTGCCATGGCAAGCTCCCACGTAAAAAGTACATGAAAACATACCCTAATGACTCCATATCATCTCGTCGACTTTGTTCTGTAGAAATAATTAAACAATGTTCCTTAACAATGCAGGTTTTAAATAGAATTAATCAATAATATTTTTGAATACTATTATACCCATTTCCAGTAGTTTATCACAAGCTGTACAATGTACATATACAGCAGTATTTTGATGTACTGGTATATTTCCAATATCAGAATTAATAATTCTGAAGACAGGAATTGATATGTAATAAACACTAATCCAGGACAATCAGCTGGGATCACTGAATAAAGCACTGGTCACCTATAATGCAGAAATGTAAATGGTGCAACTGGTATCTTGGCGTAAAACAAGTGAATAGAACATACCAATTCCAAGATGTGTGTTGATACTGGCATATCTAGCTGTGCCGGTGAGATTCTTGTTTTCCCGATAGGGTATATGTTGATGTGTTCTGGCATCACGATACTTTTTGGCCAATCCAAAGTCAATAATATACACAAGATTTCCCTTCTTTCCTAATCCCATTAGAAAATTGTCTGGTTTCACATCACGGTGAATGAAATTTTTAGAATGAATATACTCAATTCTGCTTATCTGTAAAGAAATAAATTAAACATGTAAGGTAATTGTAATATTTCAACTTAATGTTATACAAATCAGTTCTACATAACACTAAATTATACATGTAAAAAATAACAGACAATGCATAACATCTGTGTAGGCAGTACTCCTGCTGGATTCCTGTTCCATTACACAATATACAGATTCATACATATAGATGAACCAGGTACATTGCTCTATATCCATTCTACACAGAAAAATGTTTCAATTACTAATGACTTGTCATGCTTTTAAACCCAGTAAAATTGGTTTAAACATTTAATTTTCAAATATATAGTACATGATTTAATATTTTCAAAGAATATGGTGTTAGGGATCTGACACCAAGAGTGGTCTCTTATACAACACCATCTCATAATCATAATTAGTAAACTTACGAAGTATGTGTTACCACATTAAAATCGGTTCTCTTTTCTCATTAGCTTAACATAATCACATACCAACTGATCTGCCAGTAGCAAGACTGTCTTTAAACTGAATTTACGCGAGCAGAAGTTAAAGAGATCCTCCAGACTTGGACCTAAAAGCTCCATCACCATGACATTGTAGTCGCCTTCTGCTCCACACCATTTTATAGTTGGAATGCCCACTAAAATTAGGAAATTCATCTGTTTAATAGCTAGAACTTTAGATAATCAAATTCAGAAAAGGAAACTGAGAGTACAAATAAAAAATAAGCAAATAAATAGAAAACACAGGAATTTCCCATGTACAAGTTTTTAACATATTAAAATGTTTTACAGAACATTGGAAATGCATCATTACCTCCTCCTTGCATCATTCGGTATATCTTGCTCTCTATATGGAGCTGTGGGTGTTTTGTTTTCACACATTCTAATTTAATGGCAACCTCTTCACCATTTGAAATGTCCGTACCTGAAATAGATAAAATATCTGAAATGTTCTATAATGTGCCCATTTTTAGCTACAATATTTCACAGCTGACTGAGGTCATTTAATTCTGTCTTTCTCTATTGGTAGACACTAGTTTGACAGCATATAAATATCATTAGCCACTAAGGAGTTGACACAATCAGCTTTGTTAAAGAAACCTTACTTATAACCAAACCCGTCTATTTTGGGTTTTGATTCCGTCATCAAGCATTAACTGTGAAAATAATGTGAACAAACCAGCGGATACAGAAAGAGGAAACATTGACATATTGATTTAGAGATTACACAGCTCTTTACCCAAGTTTCAAGCGTAGCAGTTTCAGTCAATGCAAACTACAAATGTATGCACTACATGAAATGAATACAAGTAGTGAAATGAGATGCAATGCTGTTCTATTTATGTGCATAACTTAAGTAGAGAGTGTTGATGTTTTATCTGCCTCACATTGGGAAAGGAAAACTAATTTTTATTCCATTTTTTATCAAAAGAATTTGTGGTTCTGTCATTGATTTTCAGAAAGCTTAAAACATTGAACATTTCAATTAGGAAGAATTGTTCAATATTATCAAAATATGGACTTTAAATTCCAAGAGTCTGCATTAGTTATATCACCTTTTCGAAGATTAGGGTTACAAACTTGGGTGCCTGTCATAATTTTTACGCCGTGTAAGCCTCTTACATTGCTAGAATACTTCTTGGATGGGCTAAGACTACTTGGTGAATTGTAGAAAATCAAGGGTTCAGACTGCCTTACTAGCCTAAACTAGTGGGAATTTCCTTTCTGAGGAGTGATCAAGTGTCCAGCTTGAGACTGCAGGGTTGCTCCTTCAAACTTCACTTTGGGCAGGGTGTTTTTTCATAGCTCCTTTTGATTACAGATTTGGTGTGATTGACCACTCCAAGGGTAGGAGCTATAGGAGATCGAGATGCTTCATAGGAGATAATGAACCCATGTTGTTGTCGTCTTCGGGGTCAAAGACTTTGTGAAGGGGGAAGTAGTGTAGAAGTCAAGAGTACAGGTAACCTAATTACTGGACTCAGCTAGGGTGAATTTTCTCTGGTCAAGCAGTAGGGAGTCCGACTAGAGACTCGTGGGTTTCTAGTTCAAACCCCACCAGGGGCAGGGTGGTTGTTTTCATTTACCATTACAGTTGTTTTGCCCCCTCTACTTAAATGAATTGAACGTTCACCAAAGAACAAAAGCTTTAAATCTTACGATAACGCCGCCACTGGCATTATATATATGTCAATTTGAAACCCAACAATATCAAGCACATCGTTATCCAAGTTCCATGAATCTAGACACACTTTATACAATCGTGGTTGTTTTGACAGCAGAAAAAAGAATGTCCGATTTTCCTCTTCCGGTTATTATTTTACCAGACAAACGGGTATAAATGTCAATTAATAGGTTAAGTAATCTTACATTTTGAGACTATTGATATATTACAGACATTCTATGTGAACATTTGATGATTCACCAAAGAAGGGATTGTAAAATGACAAATTCATTCATTGTTGAATCATATACTTTGTCTTCGACATAGAACTGTCAAAATATTTCGAAGCTTGCACCGACGTGTTTAATCGTCGTAAAAATCATTCTTACCAAGATAAATGTCTCCGAACGAACCACTTCCGATCTTCCGTCCCAGACGGTACTTGTTTCCTACTCTCAGCTCCATCTGAAAGATAAGCAAGTCATAATGTAGATTGTGTTCTCCGAGTCGAAGAGACCGATACAAAACACAAACAAAAGCGGACTGGTATGCCCATTTGAGACAAAAATATTCTTACCTCTACACCGGAAAGGATAAAATGAGCTCCTTAAACGGCTGAGTACATATTTTTGTAACAATATTATGGCAAACTAAGTTCCGTTAAACATAATTAACGGTTAGATGCAATGGATTTTGATGGCGTTACCCACTTCCCACTTCCATTATTTACTTCGATATCGGTTGCCCGACATCATTACGCAGGCGCCACTATTCTATTTCCTGTTTCAAAGTGCCCGGATTTTTGACATTGGAAACGCCCCAACATTGGTTAGATTTACAGAAATTAGTCTTTATTCTTTAAAACGCCTGAAGATTGCGGACAATCTTTCCAACGATATTGTATATTGATGAGTGAGAGCATACTTAATATCCGTACTTCCGTATACGCATATATGTTGTGAAGTCCGGGATTCTTCTGCAAGATGTTACTGAGTGCAGTTTTAGGCTGTATATAACGTTAGCACGGATTAAGCTTAAGCCTACAATAAAAGGATTTTTTTCAAAGGCCCATCATCATGGTTTACACTTTCTATTTCTCCCTCTAGCGTATTTTTCAGTCTTATTACAATAAGGCCCCAGTTTTACCTTTCCGTGCTGTCATCTGATGACGGATCCCTGCATTTTTAGAAACGTTTCGGGAGATCTAAATTGAGCTGTTTAGATGCGCGTTTCTATGGAGGATGCTGTTTTAACTTTTATTCACTCGAGTGATATCACTATGACGATTAGGTAATATTACCGATTGAAAAGGTAATATTGCCATTAAAAATGAAGGATATTATTTCTTTTCCTATTTCATTTGAAATTTTATTAAACAGGTTCTAGAAGCTTCACTGAATTTATTTTCCGGAGTCTTGGCGAACAAAAATTTAAACTTCGAGACGTTTTTATACAAAACTTATCTGAACTGAAAACAGATTTATGATACTTTTTATCACATAACTCAGACAAGTTACATAGCATTTAGGTTAAAAGTTAAACTAAAATATGGAAGACAAAATAAAAAAGAGGCAACCTTTGCGGTTTGGCGCCATTTTCAATTGACATGACGTCCCAGTACAGTCAATGTCCATAGTATGACATCACAATCTATTTGTGAATGGTTTCAATTCAATAATATTCACCGAAACCCTTATATAAATGATTGTTCCCAGTAATATTTTCGGCGGGATATCTTGTTATCACCAATTCATTGTGGCGGTATCTCCATTCAGTTCATTTGATGATAACACCGGAACGAATTGACGAAATATCACTATGGTGAATAGGTGAAATCATCTCATCGTTTTACTGATATCACTTACGTGGATTCAAATTAAATTTGCACCGTCGTTCACCACTACCCCATTTAGAAAAACATTCATATCCTGAATTTAGCCTTTGTGATTTTTCAAAAGCTTTTGACAAGGTATGACTTGCTGGTCTCGTATAAACTAGACCAATACTGAATACTGGATTTCTGACTGTCTTTCAAATAAAACTCAAGCTGATGAATGTCGTTTATTTAATAATAAAACTGTTACTGCGGGAGTCCAAAAAAAGGATCAGTTTTGAACCACCTTGTTGTTTTTATATATATATATATATTATGATGACATTTCACCAGAGACGTATATAACACATGTGATATATACGTCTCTGATTTCACATAACTTTCATCTCTTTCACGCTTGTTTGTTAACCTTACGTCTTTTTCGTACTTTTCTCTTTAAATCGCCATTATCGGGTACCAAAGACACAGAAAGATTAGAAAAATGGTTGTAAGATTGGCTTATATCTCTTAATCCGTGGCTAACTTGTCTATAAGGACCGTGAGTCGTGAACACAAAAGCCTGTGTCCATGTTCTGTCTCCTTCTTTGACCTACATACAAGTTTGTCAGGGCTCTATCTCCTTAAGCACAGACTTGCAAATATCATAGTCCGAACCTAACTTATAATCAATTGAGCACTACTTCTGGTATGGATATAGTCTAGTTATATTATCAAAGTTGATTTTATTAGCTTTGTATGGCAGTAGTTTCGATCAATACGTGAAAAGAAATCCAGATACGTTGATATTCAATGTGGCGACCTCCAGGAAATGTAGTGGTGGACGCCGGATATAAATATCAGTCAGTGGCGACCGCCTCATTAAATATTTTCACTGGCTGACCAACGTGGTCATGCAGGCAATGCGCCACCCGAGATCACATGCTGTCTTTCATTATACGTCCGCCAAACTGATTGGAGTAGGATATTTCCGAAAAACCAATCAACGAGTTGGTTTCAAAATAACGTCGACGGATAAAAACAACCAAGCACGTGTGCTGCGTGGGGCCAGTTGAGAATTTCCTGAAATGAATTTTTATAAGGAATTGAACGTAACTGAACACACTTTAAAGTAAGGTACGTATACGACAGTTTCAAAGCATTTTCTTAATTTGCATGTCCGGATTCGTTAGGTATGGACTCAATAAATTCTCAGTCCTATATTATAAACTTTGATATTTTTGACAGGTGCCGGGTTCTGCTTGGTTGTGGCACGGACTTAGATATATCTAATAAGAGTATATGGTTGTAGGTTACTGACTGATACGTATACATGGAGCTTAAACGAGTTTATTACCTACGGTATATATTTACCATTTACTATTTACAAATACACTTTATGTATTCTGACGTTGTCAAATTTAATTTATATATCAAAATTAGTAAATTAAATATCTTACTGTAAAAGTTGAGATGACAGGTCACTTTACTAAACTCAGCTTGTGGGAGTTTCCCATAAGTCAAGTGGTAGAGTGTCTGGCTAGAGACTGACGGGTAAATTGGGTAAAATGTAGTATGTATACAATTACATGATTATTCAGAGTAGAAAGACATTGTCTAAATCAATGTTATCTTACTGCTTTGAAGTGATGGATTTACATGCCTATTAATGTGTATGTTTTATCTTTTTAGCTCACCATTTGATAATGGTGGGTTATTCAAATCGCTCTACGTCCATCGTCCATCCGTCCCTCTTTAAACAATTTTTGTTATCACTATTTCTTGAGAAGTACTTGATGGATCTTTATCAAATTTTTTATGTAGGTTGCCCTCGGTCACTAGTTGTGCCTGTTTGTTTTAGGGACTGATCAGAAAAACAAAGTGGCTGACAGACGGCCTTCTTGGATTTTTTTCAATGAAGTTTGTTATTGCGTTTTCTTAAGAAGTACCGGATGGATCTCTCTCAAATTTCCTATGTAGGTTTCCCTTTGTCTTTAGTTGTACATATTTGATTTTGGGACTGATCAGGAAAAGAAAATGGCAGATATGTGGCCATCTTGGATTTTGACTTTGCAAATTTGTTATTACTATTTCTTGAGAAGTTCTGGATGGATCTTCTCAAGGTTTCATGTATAGATTCCTCTTGGTCCCTAGTTGTGCCTGTTTGAGTTTTTGACTTATCAGGAAATAGAATGGCAAACAGGCAGCCATCTTGGATTTCACCTAGTAAAGATTGTTATCCCTATTTCTTAAGAAGCACTGAATGGATCTCTCTGGAATGTCACATGTATGTTCCCTTTGGTCTCTACTTGTGTGTGTTTGATTTTGGGACTGATCAAAAGAAACAAAATGGCTTCTAGGCGACCATTTTGGGTTTGGCAGGTAACGGTTACTATCATCACTTTTTCTTTAAAAGAATGTTAAAATTTCTTATCATTAAGACCAAAAACAGAGAAAAGAAAAGGAAAGAAGGGTAAAGATTGAACTTTCAAAGAGCAAATAAAGGTCAAACAATGGTGGGTGCCAAGATTCCTCTGGGATCTCTTGATTAACAACAGAACAGATGTTATGCATCCAGAAACATCAATAACAACATTAGTTGGGACAAATGGCATCAAAGAAACAACCAGATCTCCCTAGAGGCTTGATAGGACGCACAGGTGTCCCTACTGGGAGGGGTTCAAGGTGAGACTTCAAAATCACTTATAGTTGCAGAGGAAACACTAACAAAATAGCATGCATGGATAGCATAGATATTCAATATAGGTTAAATGAGGTATGGCCGGATAATCAGATTAGATGTGATATGGAGTGAACAAAATGGTTACAGGGTTGGGTTGATTTGTAGGCAAATGACAAGACAAGCTTTCTTTTGCTAGAGGAAGATAATTTCAAAGCAAATAAGCAAATTTTTTATGTTCTTGTGTTAGTTTTTAGCTTACATGACTGCAAGTACTTTGGATTGAATGCCATGAATTTTCCTCATATGAATGACCTGGAACTATTAATTGATCAAGTATGTTAAAAAGGTTAGAACCTACTTGTCAAGTTTCAGAAGATCCAGAGTCCCGATATTTTGCCAGCATGTATTTAGGATGGAGTACTATAATGTTCTCATATAAATAGCCACGACCTATTTGCAAGATCAAAGGGACCAGATATATTCTTGGATTTTATATAGACTCAAGAGATACTGATACTTGGCTTGTAGAAAAAATTTCCTTACATGATGACCTCAACTTACTCAAGATATGTTATTGATTTTTAGGTCATTTGACCTGAAGGTTCAAGATACCTATAGCCATCGTGCTTCATCTGTCATTCCCAAATGGGAAAGTTTGTCGGTATTTTGCTTCAAAATGCTACTCCTGTAATGCATGAATGGATTTCAATAAAATTTGGTAGGCCCCAAATGGGGAAAGTAGTCAATATTTGATTCAAAATGCTACTTTTTCTTAATGCTTGAATGTATTTCAACCAAATTTGGTTTCAAACATCATTGGTAGTGAGGAATCAATTCTTAAATTCAGAAAACTGATTTGACCCCTAGGAACCTGGGGGTGGACAGTGTCCCTAACTGAATAAGTAGTCAATATTTTGCTTCAAAATGCTGGTGTTTCTTAATGCATCAATGGATTTCAACCTAATTAGGTCTGAAATATCATTGAGAATGTTGATTCATTTTTTAAATTCAGAGAGTTGATTTGACCCCTACTTAATATGAATGACCTTGATCCGCTTTAAAGGTCACGGGTCAAATGTGTTAAAATCTTTAAATGACTTCTTTTCAGTAACCAAATGGCCCAGGATGTTGATATTAGGGCTATAGCATGCTAGGATGAATGGCTAACAACTTTGTTAATATGAATGACATTGACCCACTTTCAAGGCCAAAGGTATAAAATGTGTTAAAATGTTAAAATAACTTCTTCTCAATAACCAAAATGCCAAGGGTACTGAAACTGGACCAACTTTCAAGGTCACAGGGGTCAGATGCACTGAAATGCTTAAGCAATTTCTTTTCAATAACTGAAAGGCCAAGGGTTTTGATATTAGGCTTGTAGCTTGCATTTTCAACAAGCATTATACATGCGAAGTAATGGCAATTGTGCAGTGCTTGTATAAAGAATATGATTTCTAGTTTGCAGAAAATGTCTTGATGATCCAACAATGTCTACTATGTAAACTGTAGAGTAGTTGAGCAATTTATCTTCGGCCTAATTGGCCTCTTTCATATGTAGGTCTCTATAGTCAGATGACTGTTGAGGCCCATGAGCCTCTTGTTAAGAATCTTATCAAGTTTCAGGATGTACGGAGTACTGATATCTGGCTGATATGCACCTCAGATTAAATACCTTTAAATTTTCTCATATAAATGTCTGACTAATATTCTAGGTCACAGTGATCAAATATGTAAAAAAATGTTTTTTTATCTTCTTCTGAAGTTCTCAAGAGTACTGATATTTTGGCAAACAGATGTCTGAGATGTTATGGAGTGTTCGTAACGCAAAAGTTTTCTATCTAAAAAACCTCCAAAATTCATCTCATTCAGAAAACCTGGAGTCCTGTTAATTTCCAAGTGCAGGCCTTGAATTGATCAAGTGCTGCTGGTTTTCATAAAATAAAGGACCATGAAGTTCAAAGGGATCGCCTCTTTTCTTGAAAACAAAAGTATCGAGAATGATCGTTCTTGGTTATATCCTGAGCACCAGTACTCTGTATCATTTCTAATGTGAAAAAAGCCTATAGATGCTGTAATTTTTGGTTCACCCCTTTTTACAGTTGGTGTATTATGTAGTAACATGTTGAAATAAAGTATATGGAATCAAATGTGACATATAATGTGATAGCATTCATGTCAAAAGTTGAGTTAACTGTTAGATGGTGGTTCATCCATGGCATGGTTTAGGTGTACAAGTTTGAGATCTTCAGCATTATCTTTGTCAGTTTTTATCAGGATTTCTCACAATATTTTTGGAATTATACAGATTCTGAACATGTTGGGTTAGCTCTTACAATATATAGTGAATTATTGCTTGTTGTTGCCTTAATTTTTTATCTTTGAGATAAATTTCAGATGATAAGTGTGCTATATAAGAGATAAGAAGAAGACATCGTCCAAATAAGAAGAAGAACAAATGATAATACCAGTTTATAATGGTTATTTTGTGTGACAATCTGGTATTCTCAGAAGACTATTCTAGTTTAGTTGCTTCAATGGGAAGTGATAAAAAAGAAATGTTTTGATCCCGTTTTCAAGCATAAATTAAGACAGACTCCAAGAACAATCATACAAATTATTTTTCTTGATTGCAGATTGCCGTCATTAAAAGGGCCAAGAGACTTGACCCTTGGAGGAGTTCCCAAGAAAGTGTTTATTCCTACGATCCCTGCAGCTAGACGAGACAAAACTAAGGATAGGTAGATAGAACTGTTTATTCCTTATATATGCAGTATTTCAAGTTCATATGACGAGGTAATTGGACACTCAAAGTCCACTTCACAATGCCAATTTTCTAATCAACAGACTTTCTGAAACACAGGCTACTAATGATTATCACTGTGGTTTATGATACAGTACTAAATATTATTTCCTGTAAACTGTATGATTCCAGATAACACTGTCAAAGCAGTTACATATGAAACATTTCAGTTTGTATTAGTTTTGTGATTGCTGTGATACCATATTCACCCCACAATAAGCCCAAGGAGCATTACCAGTGCTACAAAGTCACATGATGGAGTTATTACAGGACAGTGAAATGGGAGTTGTTGGTGATTCAACAGAACAGCAATGTATATGGGGAGATAACTCTGGTTAGATTGGGTGGTTAATTAAACTGGGCAGTCTGCAAAACCCATAATCTGGACAATTTCAGCTGGGAACAAAGGTTATATTCGCCAGAAATTGCAGCTTGAATTGTGTCATTTTGAGGTACATGTATTAAAGTATGAACGGTTGGTGTGTAAAAAAAATTTAAAAATTGACAAGGATGACCTCTGATTCTTTGTGATTTACCATTAGTCATATACAAGATGAAGGCACTAAGAAAGAAGGAAAAAGAGGTCATGGTACTGACAAGAAATTTAAGGGGCCAGGATCAGAGAGAGGCAGAGGAGGTGGACAAGGCCGAGGAAGGGGCAAGCCTCTAGATGTTATCCAATCACATTCCATTTTTGAACAAGGACCAACAGAGAAATTAAACAAAGGTAAAGTATATAAAACATGTGGTTTAACCGGTTTTCATTTGACTTTTCTTAAAATCATTGTAAAACTACCTCATAATTGGGAAAGATTTGTAAATGTATTAAAAGTATCTGTTAAATAAGAAAATGTCTAAGTATGGTTATTTATGTTGTAATATTTCTGTTATTTCAGGTGCAGGATTTTCTGGTGAATATCTGGGCAGTAGAGGAGGAGGGGGAGGAGGGGGTGGATCAATTTCAACTTCAGACTCTGGAGTTATCAAATCACGGATCAAGATGGAGAAGGGTGTGGATGGATCCAAGCAGGTTCTAGACTACCTGTTGAGAGACGATGTAAGTCTATGAAGGGTTGATTTCAATTACATACAGGCAAAGTACCGTAAATATTCGCTTATAGTGCGCACTCACGTATGGTGCGCAGGCACTTTTTGGAGATCAGATTTTAAAAAAAAAAATCTACAGAAAAATTAATTGACTGGTCACTGCGACGAAACATTTGATGTGGATATTTCTGTGAAGAGATTTCCTGTATTACCCTAAGATAGATTTGGGAGGTACATCTAGTTTGCATTGGTCCTGATAGTTGTATTGTAAAGAATTACCCATCTTATTGAAATGATATACCTATGATAGACCTTTTAAGGTTCTAAAAAATAAAGAAAGATAAAAAATTGTCTAATTTGTTAATCACAGACAGGAAATGATGTATTTGTATGACAGATAAACTTTATTTGTTATTGTCCAGTTCTGAGACATGTCAAACTGCCAGATCTTAACTTTTTTGCCTGTTCTTGCAATGTCTAAAATAAAGTCACCATGTAACCTATTTGATCAACCTCAATGCTGCGAAGCTCTTTTTGTGTATGAAAAATAAAAACTCAACACAATATATATGGCGGAAAAACTTTTCTTGTTGAAGTTGCCTATGATAATTTATTTTGAAATTAACTACTTATATAAATTCAGATTATCTTAAGAAATTATATAATGAAAAAACAGCAAAGGTGAGCGGCACAAAATGAGCCGTCACTATACATAATACAAGAAATAAATTCTATCACAATATAAAAGACATGTCTCTAGTCAATAAGCTATAGAATGCAAGGGTGGGAAGGGCATGGATTTTCATTTGTATGAAAGATGTCAAAATGTTTTCCTCTTTTTAAATATGGCGTCGTGAAGATAAATTTTCACCTGGAGAAAGTGTGATATGGGGTTCAGGGATGCTGAACAGGGGCTAGTCTAGATCCTATTGACCAATGACATTTGACCTCTCACATATGACCCGAATTTCTCGCTTACCTTATAAGGGAATGGGCGGAGCTTGCCAGATTAAATGTGACGTCATTCAGCATGTAAACAAAACTACTTGGAAAGCGTGATGGCAGTAGCTTCTAAAGAAAATAAAAAGTTCTCTGCAAGTTTGGCAAAAACATGATCGCTCACAAACTTTCATTTTGTTAACTGTTGTTTCTGTCCAGTTTATAGACACTCCCTACCAAATTGAAGACCCCACCACACAACCTGTTATTTTACCTCTGTGTGCTATGGTGGACAGTAAACCAGATCTTCATAAAATTTCCAACATCAAGATCAAGAGTAAGTTGCATTAGCTGTGTGATGAACAGTAGTATGTCACTGTCTGTTTTACAAAGTGAGGCAATAGTCATTTTTCTGTATCTCAATCAAGCTATAAGTCACCTTGTCGAGCATTATAATTTGCTTGGATCATCAAATGTTGTCTGGGATGTATTGACTGTCTCACTTTGTGCATAGATATGACCCATTACATGTATTAACTAATATCCCCCTTTTCTGGTCTTCAGGACATGCTATATACTATATCTCTTAGTACAATAGCTTATAGCTATTCTCTGTGGAGAGTTTGATTTCATTACACTGTAGATACCAATGTACCAACCGTAGCTTGCTTTGATTTTTAGCGGAACCTGGATTAGCAGTTGAGAAGGATATTAAACCACCCAAAGTGTCAGGATTAAGGCAGTCTCCAATTGTCAGTGATGAAAACTGTGATCAACTGTTTACAAACCTTGGAAAAACTGGTAAACCTCTTAACTTTACATTAGATATAACTACATGCATCTTTATCACAACATATATAAAAAGGTGCTGATTTGATGAATATGTTATATCCTTATGAAAAGATCCTAATTGTTTCTTCTTGTCTGAATATCAAAATGTACATTAGATTTGATAGCATTTGAAGATCTGAAATCAAGCAGCATACTCTAACTGGAGAAAGGATTCTAAAACATAAATGAGAATTTAAACAATCTTACAACCAACATTAAGATATGCATGTCCATTTAGTTCCCACTGATGCCTAACCTATTATTACTGTATTGAATTTCCTTGTAATGATTGCACATATACCTATAATAATTGGGAGTCTTGTAAACGTTTTGATCACTACTCTTGTGACAGTTATCAGACATATTTATTGTTAACATTAAGGGACAACCTAATCACCTAATACACTTCAACTTGGGCGATTATTGAAAATTTGTCATTCTAAATGACACTTCACAAATTTTGTGAAACTAACAAATATCTGACGAAGTTATAGTATATTCATATTGGAGGACAATAGCTGCAAGTTCAAGTTGGTTATTACATGTTTTTTTTTTTTCTTAGAATCTTGGCACAAATACATGACAATTTTTTAAAAGTATCTTAGTTCAGATATACAGGATTATTTGTAAGCAAATAAAATGAGTCCATATGTGATAAATTTTCTCTACACAGAAAACAGTGATTTGTTGTTTTTCCAATTCCCTGATACCATGCCTGGGGTTCCATCCAACAGTAGAGATGAGGAGGGTGATGGTAGGCAGAAATCTGGAAACAAGGATGGGGTAAGTTATCATTTGAAAGTTACCTTATACATCTTGCAGTAAGCTCACCTCACCCACATCTACCAGTAGAGATGCCAACAACTGTTACACCAGAGTCAAACATGTGGTCTCCTTAGGGTTGGGCAGATGAGGAGTGAGACTCAAAATAGGGCAAAGTCATGCAGGTTTGAATCAATTTATATATTTTTTTCTCCTGGACTGGTTTGTAAGCATGCATTGATTCAAATCACATACAGTGTATAGGATAACTTACGATTGGACGTTGTAAGACAAGTTACGTTCCATATTACAGGATGACTTGGTTAAGCAGATCGGCTCATGCTCTCTCTCTGAATTCTCTGAGGGATATATGGGTAAACTGGTGGTGCGGAAATCTGGACGGACACAGTTAGTTCTTGGCAACATCACACTTGATGTTTCCATGGGAACTAAGTGTGGATTCTTACAGGTATTCTGATATTTACTTAATGTTTCTTGTGAAAGGATCAACAGAACTTTGCCTGATCTGGTATCATTTACATAAATGTTGATAATATTATTGATGGGAATTTAATTACATATAGCCGAGTCTGTTGTATTATACACAAACTCCTTTTAGAAAAAGTCCATCTGAAACCAGCTCCATGCGAAAATTTTAAATAATAAAAGGATATATACAAAGTATTGAATATTTTGATTAATTGGTAACCAACTTATTTCAGACTGGATGTTCATCTTGTAGGATTTAGTTTCCATAGAAACCAGACCTGGGGGAAGAGATGGTGGTCACATGGCTGTACTAGGACACGTGAACAAGAGGCTTGTATGTACCCCAGACTTTGACAGCCTGCTAACCTTATGACAACAGGTACATAATAAGTTTATCATGAAGGTACTACCAAACACAAAATGGAATACTGGCTTTTGTTTGGAAGGGATTTACATATTAACAAAATGAAATTCAAAACTTCAATAAGATATATTGAGTATGTTATTTTTTTGTATAACTTTAAGGTTTAGACAAACAATATTTTATATTAAGCCCCATACATTTTCAAGTGTATAACGTGTGATTCTTAAAAAAACATTTAGTATGTGACTCCTAGATTGACTGAATGACTGAATTTTTCATTTCTCATATTTCTTTTATCATCACTTTACATTTAACAAATTGATGCTTAGAATCAATTCAGCATTACTCATGTTAGTGGATTATGATTATGGTAGTATAACATGTGTACCAGGGTACATGGGTTATGTGAACATTTATAAGTGGTTTACTTAATACCTGAAAGTATCCTTGTTCTGGCAACTCCATTGTTGGAGAAGTTTGAATAGAACTTCGTATGTTTAGCTATTTTATCATGATGATGTCGTGCGACAGTGTGCTACACCTGAAGTTATTTTAATTGACATTAATCAGGGTTATAGTTATCAACTCAAGGTTATTAATCTTTATTGAGAAACCCCTTGTTTCTGTAACACTTTTTCATGGCACTTCAGACAAGCATAGGAATGACACAAGCCTGTTAGTATTGAACATTGATGACATCATAAAATTCTAGAGAGTTTGTATTTGTAATAGAATTAAATTTTCATGGTTAAGTATTCTTTATCATTATTCTTCCTCCTTTGATCTATCTTGTTCCTTAATCATCAGAGCTGGTTCTATAAGCAATACCACATAAAGTTATCACAGGTTGCTTTCAGAGTACATTATACACTCTTCACAATGAAGTTGGGGGAGGGGAGGATAGTGAATAAAGTTGTCTGTCAGTCCGTTCATTTTTCTGTGTATAGCATTGTGTCCAGACATAAAAATTTATCATCACACACTGAAGTTGTGCATATATGCTAATGCCTGTTTTTATTACAGTCAATCCCCTTTTGCTATTTTAAACTGAATCTTGGACAGCTCTGTACTACAGTTTTCACCACAATTTGTTGGATATGAATATTTTGTTGCAGTTATGCCCCTTTTGTTATGTCTGTGGATTGACTTTAGTTTTGGGTACCTCCTCCAACAATTTTATCCAAGTTGTGTAGAACATTATTGATGTAGTTGGCACGCAGAGGAAGTGCTTCTCCTATTTTATCAAAATAATGCTCCTACTACTGTGTAGACTGAACCTTGTTAAGACATGTAGCTCTTCCTACAATTTCTTCTTTAATCTTTAATTTTGTTGAATGATAGTTTTCCACTCTCTTTTTCATTCACATTATAAAATTATTTGAGTAGGAAAAGGATTCAGTCAACATTGGGTGTAGAGTATGAATCAGTCATCCTGACTACAGGTGTAGTTAAACCTTGGTACATTCGTGTAGAAATCAACAATTTATGTGTAGGTTTACTAAAAGTTTTAAATTGTTTATTGTTGCAGGAGAAATTCCAGCTAAATCAACACTGAAGTAACCAGACAAAGCTGCTAACTTTTGTCTCTACTTCTTATCAGTGTTTTCATGTACTGATAGTGTAAGTTGCAAAAGATGAAGATGAGAATGTTTACAAGTATGAAATAACTTCCAAGATATACTTGAATATCCATTAGAGTCTTCAGTGTTTTCAGGTGTCTCTCAAAGCTTACAACTCAGCTGAACTGGTACAATTTCCAAAGCTGACACTTACAAAGAGATGTCTTGACAGTTGATATCAGTGAACTGGGATATTCTAGGCTGAGATATTCCCTCCAAAGTTTATTGTGCTGCGTTGGAATGCCCCACAAATCCTATTTTATATGCCTGAAGTCGGCATCTCCCTGCTGAAAGGTTTATGAAAATCTGTACTAAAATGTCTTACAACAGTTATAATAAAATAACTCTAAGAGACTTTACCATAGGCGTTTGTTGAATGTTTAATAAAACGTCTCTGCTAGAATCTTCAGATATCTAGAACTATTGTCCAGGATATCTATAATGTGTACACCAAAGCAAGAGCCTGAAATATACTAGAAGGAATACCTACAAATGTTTTACTGTTAAGTTCACTGGAATTGAATTTAAAAACTTTGACATTCTATGAATACAAATAACACTTTTACAAACTTTTTTTTTTTTAGAGTTTTTGATCAGACAGCACTGATAGCATTATTAGCATATTTTTCATGTAAAACTTATAGCTGTACAGTGCTTAATGGTGAAATTTATGTACCCTATACATAGCACCAACGCTGAGTCAGTCTTGTGTCATGCAGTGTAAAATAACTGCCAATAAAACATCATGACTACTTTGACTACCTCACTACTCAGGATGAGGTGAAATTGAATTTTCAATGTTGGTACAGAAAAATAACAAACACAGAAAACTCCAATTGAAACAATTTAATAGTATTGAAAATATATCTAATAGGGAAATTCATAAATATTTTTTGTTTATATAAAATCACAGTGATACACAATCCTCCCTAATCCTCAACAATATTCACTACAAAATACTTTGTATTTTATACATAATCTATCTATAGTTACAAATATGTAAGCTAGGCCAGGCCAGTAAACACACACATTTAGGCCATGCTCAATGCTAAATATTATGGTAATGATATCCAAGAAAATTACTAAATTGTAATAGTGGAACATAGTTCTGCATATAACAAGCCCAGTACACAGTAAAATAGGGCTCCATATCATCAGAAAGGTTTACGAAAGGGAAAATTAGTCCATTCCATGTAAACATGTTGGCAATGTTCAAATTTAGACCCAATTTATGTGATAGATAGCTATGCCTATACTATATATATGAACGTTATCTGAACATTAGTTATACCATTGAAAATAGACTTGTTATTATGAAAAATATCTGAATGAATACATGAAATATAGAGTAAGTCTACTAAACTCCAATAATGATCACAATACCTTCTGGACAACATACTAATTCATCAGCAGAAATATTGTCTATAAGTGATACTCTTTACAAAACAAGCATTACTCTTGCACTTGTGTTCTAGACTTTCAGTCTGGTGTAACAAAATTAACTAATTGTTATTTATCAGAATACATCAGCCAGTACAGTTAAAAAGCATTGGTATGAAATAATTATACATTTCTTCATGAACTTGTTAAAACATTTGAATTTCAACATTTATAAACCTCATATTTAATACTTTCTAAGATCACGATGGTTTAGAAAACACAATTCCACTAGGGTTATTGTACAAGCACATGCTGACATTCTGTACCTCTTGTTCTTTACTGTATTTACAGGACCAGTCTATTATTTATAACCTTGTAACTTACAAGAATGGTGGTGGGCTTATGGAACAATGAAATAGCACTTGTTGCATACTTAATGAAACTTCAAAATATGTAGTTGGTTTACTTCCTAGCACTGACTTATTGTCAGATTTATATTGTAGTACAAAAACAATGAAAACAAAAACATAAAATGTTTTCATCATAAAAATAAAGCTATCACTGGTGTTCAATTATTCAATACATGTGTATTATGACAAAAAATGCACTTTTCATTTATTAATAAAATATTATTTGAAAAGTAATTTCCTATAAAACCAAGTTTCTATTGGTTGGTATAATTATTCCTTATTTAAAACTATTGCCTGAAGCTCTATAGGGGTAGATGACATTTCTGAAAAATATATAAACAAAAATGTAAAAAACATAACATTACATCACATGTACACAATGTAATATGATGTAAAAATTATCACCTGACTTAAGGAGAGACAGAGAAACAGGACCAGGCAAATTATTCGTTCTTAAATATATACATAGAATATACATACTAAAGATTGTGACTAGAACCTACACATTCCAGGAGTACAAGACTACAAAATGAGTACTCCAAGCCACTGATTAATTTCATTTCCATCCATTTCAATATTTTTTTTTTTTTCATAAGTAGTTTGAATTTTATTTTTTGCAGTATACATCTGTTTCATAATTTGTTGTCATATGACCATGTTTCAAATTGCAATGATGTAAAAAAAAAATGTCACTTGAAATAATGTGGTTAAAAGAGAATTTTCTTTTAAGAAATTATCCAGTGACAAAACTTTTGATTTTATATTTTCTAAATTTTTTGTTATCCTCATAATTTCTTCAGTGACAATGTAAACAGTAGTGATTTAAAATTTCTATTTATTAACCTAACATGTAATGCTCAACAATATTATGAAAATGAATTTTACTGGTACAATTAACCAAAAATTAATTGGTTATATTACTGAACAATTCTACACCATATAAACTGCTGATTTACAACCTCTATTGAAAAAAAATTACTTCATACTTGGAGTATAATGATGAACAGAGGTGATCTCACAATTTAGACTGTAAGCATTGCACATTCTGTTTCTCATCATGACAATATTAGTTAATTCTTTCCTACAAAACAATACTGTAAAAGTTTTGAGCAAATATCCTTCAAAATAAATATCACTAGATTAACTGGAAAAGATTTAATACTTTTTTTTCATAAATGAATCTGTATCCTTAGAAACATTAATTATTGTCTTGGAGAATATCAATGTTTGTGATATATTGTATATCATAACTTTCATACTTATGTAGCACATAAATAATAAATACATTAACTTCAATATATACATTGTACATCAACAAGTTGTGTATTGGTATATACTTATTATCCATCAGTATCTGTTAAATGGACATTTAATCCACTGTTAATGGATTTGATTAAAACTACATAACATGTGCATTTTGAAATACGGATAATTTTATAACAGTTTTATGTGTAGCATAGTCCAGATGGTTGGAACTTTTGCTTGTTGAACCATATCACAGATGTAAAATCATGGATCGTGATTTTAATAAACATCTAATACAGCACATTTCAAATAAATCTTCATTGCCAGTGACATCAGACAACTTTGCAAGTAGTAAACAATTCTTCAATACAGACAAAACATTCAAACCATATATATGTATATAATTAAAATCAAACCGAGGCTATAGGTTAAATCAAAGCCATATAGCATGTAGTGGTTACAACAAAAACTGCTTCTTATAAACCCGACACACATTTAACAAAGCAACAATGATAACTAAATGAAAGTATAGTTATATAAGAGTTCTTAAGATTCTTTTCAAGATATTGGACCAATAAGTTTATATTTGTAATGCAATATTACATTAAGTGAAAGAAACATTATTAGAAGCATGAAAAAAATCTTGACTGGATGCAGAATCCAAACATTCAATGAATGAAATGAATTTATCCTTATAATTTCCAAGTTTATTTTGTTTGGATGAGAAAACAAAATCACGGTACAAACATTTTGTTTTTAAAAAAAGCAAAAAAAATTGATGACGACAGAAATATGGCAAAACCAGGATACATACTGAAACATGTACATCAATAAATGTAACATACAGACTACAAAACAAGTTCTATAACTCCTGATACTGTATCTGATCTAATTATACATGTTTGGACCAACTCTGTGAAAACTATTAAAACAAGTCTCGGGGAACATGATATTGTGACGTATAGATTTCAGCCACATTTTTATGATATTCCCTGAATATACTAAAATTATTACCACTGCAAATGTTCAAATTTAAACATTTTTCAATTGTTTTCAAATACAAATGATGCTAAATATTTAGATAGAATGTTTGGAAATTTTCCCTGATTTCTTTCCTTATCTAATTTTTGAAAGTTTCATTTCCTTGAAGTATCTATCATCTTTTGGAATGTGTAATCCTGAATGGGCCATTGAAATATAGTTAGAAAAGATACAAAACAAATACAACATACTCACAAATATCAACAATGTTTGGGATAGATACATCAACACATTAAGACAAAAAAGAGCTTAATTTGGTCTTCTTTGGTAATTGTGAAAACATATTTCTCCATCATGGATACAGCTTTTTCTCAAAGTAAACAATATAAGAATGTGTGAAAGTATTTTAGGCCAATACACCAAAACAAATCCTGCAGAGATATAATGTACAATATACATGTATTCTTTCTTATCATGCATCCAGGGATCAAACCCCTGTAAAATTTTGGTATTATAGACCCGTGGTCTTAATAAAATTAGTGTTTAAGTTTAAACACAAAATTTTAAAGAAAAACAAATTCAAATTTCTAAAAATGTAAAAACAAGTTTGATCATCATTAAAACATGTTTGTATTTTAGCAAAAAACTACTATCGGACAACAATTGTTTGAACGGCACATATAAACAACATCATAATGAAAAACAGACACAAATATATAAACAAGTATTTTTAATGTGTACAAAACAACAAACATGTAAAATGTTTACCTAAAAAAGCAAAAATAAACTATAAAAATTGATTATGAAAACTTGGTGGCTGGTTTTACAAACAAATATAAGGCACTTTTAGTAACAGGAAAACAAATTTTGGATGAATTCACCATTGGCAACTATATGGTACAACACATAATGTGAACATTAATGACAGCAAATAAAATGGTTGCAGACACGCTCTAATTCAAAGCTCACACAATCCAAACCAAAGCATTTGGTTGGACTAGCGTTGCATGCTCACCTATATATAAAACAATCTCCTAACAGCACCCATCATCTAAATCTGTTTAGTCTGTTTACCTGAAAGTCAAACAGCAGGTTATCATGATTAAACTAATTCTTTGTAAATTTAAGAAATCATGTAAAAACTTATCTGTGAGCCAAAAAAGTTTTTTAAAAAAAGTCGTTCCGTTGAAAACTTTTGTGCATTGTATATCCATAAAATTTATGTTTATATTTGTGTATTTATATAAGGGAAAATCAGTGAAGTTAAGACCAAGGGAGGGAATTATATAATACTAATTCAGACCTGATCATTAAACAGATATAGGAAATGAGTGATGTATGGGCGACTGTTAACACAACCTACATATCTTACTGTAGCCAGAACCAAATTTTGTCAAGTATACATGTTCCATATAAATACATACACCATTATGGTATGTGTCATTAACACACATGCATGCTAATCTAAAATGTACATGAGAAACAGAATCTTGAACCCCTTGTTGTAAATAAACCAAATTAATTCAGTCAAGACATACGTTAATAAAAAAAAAAAAAAATTCCAGCTCCATCTATAATTCATTTTTCATCATCTAACCACTTGAATAAGATACAAAAATTTTATTTATTACTTTACAATATGGGGAATAAGATTCTATTTTTCATATAAGAGAACATCTTACCTTTTGTGATTTCCTCTTGTCAAAATGACACACATAGAATACACAGAGAAACTGAACTATTCTAATAACTAGTACTCTTGCTTGTCAATCATTTTACTGCCACATCTCTACATTACAATATTTACACATTTTAACCCAGTCACCAGTATTCAGAATAGCACCGTTTCCCTGTGAAACACACTAGCATAAACACTCACCATGCAGAAAATGTTCAGTGAATCAAATCAATGAAGGAAATGAATCATGCATTGATATGTGAAATTAGAATGAAAGAAACAAGGTTTCATTTCTCTCGAATACCTTGATGCTTGTCAGATACATTCTGAGGTATTTAAAATTCAGAAAAAAAAAGAAAAGAAAAAAAAACTGAATACATTGTAATGTAATGGATATCACAGTTCACAGGTTTAAATCTGCCTTTGGAGACCTGTAATTAAAACCTGATCATACAATAGGCAAAAAGACAATATATCACAGATATGATAATGCTTTGAGACTTACTCTCAGGTATACAATGGGACTATGGTAACATTTTTGGATTGATTAGCAAGGAGGTTGTGAATGTGGACGGATCTTCACTTGATTAGGACACAAGGATGATGGCCTGGACTTTGGACTATTAATATTGGACCCTGGTCGGACTTTTGAAGGTGGCTGTTGTGAACGTGGTCTGGATTTAGCACGAGCTAACCAAGCTGAGCGTTGCTTTTTCTCCAGTTCTTCTTCCTCTCGCAGTTTTTGCTCTGAGAACATTTTCTCTATGCTACTGATGTAGTCTTTCTCCTGTTCATATGTTCGCAGATCAAATTTCACATGACTCCGCATTGGATCATTATAAGCACTAACTTTTCCCAATATCTGACCAGTACCATCACCTGCTGATTGCACATCTTCAATTTTGTTTTGACTTCGTTTTTCTTGAATCAACTGTGATAATTTCTCCTTCATGTCAGCAGGGTACATCAGCATAGGAACAACACTGGACTCCATAGCTGTGCTTGAAAGACCATATTGGCCTCGAGGTTTCTGTGGAGGAGACACTCCAGGCAGCGAAGGTGCAATAGTGGACCTAACAGACACAGCTGTATCTGGACGATTTGTTTGAGCTGGGGCTGTTCCTGGTCGAATTCCACGTGCCTTTAATTCAGGATCAGTCTCTTTTCGCTTGGCAGATGCAGATATTGGCCTGATGACTCGACCAATTGGCACAGTGCTTTTTGTCTTTTTTGAATGCAAACTTTGTCTTAATTTAATTTTAGTTGGTTTAATGTCGCATGGTGTGGCATATATTTCTTTTTCTGGACTCTCTGGCATCCCATCATCCTTTGCTTTTGTTGATTTGATAGATTTTATAGATTTGACATCAGAGAATTCTGACATGGTGTCCACTTTGTCTTCAATAATAAACTTTTCTATTCCTATCTCTCCAGGACCCAATCTAGTACGGGGGTCAATTTTTGGTGGAGAAGAACTAGGCCTATTTTTCAATGTATCTGCAAGATTATTTGTTAGTTTAAAGTTTACCTGTGTATTACTGTTTGTTTCTGTTGTCTTCATGGAATTCTGAATGGCATTCACAGTCATGTAAATGAAATCTGGTGGCACAATACTCTCAGACTTCATCCGGATCTGTGACCGTAGCAATGACTTTGTCTCTGAAAGAGAAATATCTTTAGACTTTGGAAGGAGGGGCTTCTCAAATGCCCAGGAAACTCTTCGCTTTAGACCTGAAGCTGATGGTCCATTCTCGTCATCATCGTCATCATCATACTGATCTGGATTAGGTTCAGCGATGATCACACTATGTTGTGATACCCCAGACTTGTGCGTTAAGGGTCGCGTCTTTGGCAGTGGAGGCTTTGAAGGGGCAGTAGAGGCTCGACTCTTCCCTCGACTTGAGACAGCAGTTTTGACTTCAGACAGTGCCAAACGGGACTCGGTGCCGGCTGTGAAATGCATGCTTTCAAATCCTACATCAGCGAAGCCCTGACTTTGTATTTGTCTCGCACTTGCCATACTACGCGAACTTAAGGTCTTTGCGCTGTGAGGGTACTGCGGTGCATGGAATGAAGTTTGAGGGAGAATCCGTCCACTGTCCAGGTGCCGTTCCTGTATCTCCCCTGGTCGGTTGTGTAAGACTATTTTTGAGTTTGTGGCACCAGCTCGTACCATTCTCTGCGCTCGGATGTAGGAGTATGGGTGAGACCTGATGGGCGTGTCAGCGTATGAGCTATACTGTACCAGTGGTGGAACTTTGTCATTCTCCAGTGTATAATCCCACTCAACTTTCTCAAAGTTGAGTACCAACAGGTTAACACTGGTATTAAGTGTAATCCTGAAACATAATGTGAAAAACATGATTTAAGATAAATTGGTAGCTAGAAGAACTTCACAACCTACTGCAGTAACACTGTGTACCAGAGGAATATCAATGATTTGATTTTGTGACAGCTAGTGACTGACTGTAAAATCTTGTTAAACTCCTCTAATACACTTAACATCATCTGGATTCTTATATAACCTCCAGAAATTAAGATAATGGTAAAAGAACACAGTTTCAGAATGATTTCGATAGAATCAGCCAAATATGGAGACACTTGAGGTATTCACATCATAAACATTACAGCATTACATCAGGAAGAAAAGCAAACCCAGATAAATACACAGGTGAGCTCTATCACATAATTGTTACATTTTCACATACTAATATCTTTAGATTCATTTTACTATATTTTTCTTCCTCATTTAAAAATAAATCTACTGAAATATAAAGCTCTATTTTTAGGGAGGATTGGTAATGTTACAATTCCTCCTCCAAATCAATACAACTCATGATAAGAACTTGTTGATTGGATAATCAACAAAATATAATCCTGACCTTTGTCTGACAATTCTAATTCAATCATGATCAGTTCTCAGGGACAAGTGACTGGTTGAAATTAAGACACTGAATGTTAAAACACAGATTTTTTTTTAAAATTGACGTAACACCTACCATGGATGGAATACTTTTCAACCTTCATGTACACAAATTTTATCTTACTAGTGTATAAAGTGTCTTCTTGTTCTCACAGTTAATAGCTGTAGACTGAATACACAAAAAGTCACTGCCATCATCTTTTTAATTTTTCCTTTACCTGTTACCAATGGCAATGATTGACTGTATTGCATCACTACGACTGTTTCCACGCATGATCCGACAACACTGTCCGTTAACCATGTTCCAGATGCGGAGTCGCCCATCAGCTGATCCAGTGATAACACGAAGGTACATGAACTCTACACAAAGGACGGCCCTGGAAACAAACATTTACCAAAGACTTTATAGACTTCATTTAATTATATTTACAGAATAATGACAGATGCCTCCATACCAAATATTTTCAAAACCAGAAAATGTCTAAGACATCAATGCTGTTTCTCCGTACCTACTTGATTATATGCTATAAATAGTAATGGTGACCTTGGCCTTCTAGATAGAAAAAGTTTTATCAAATTCCCTTTATAAAATAATAAGTGTAATGTTACTGAATTGGATTTGATGATTATCTAAAAATATTATTAGTGACCTTGACCTTGGAATCCTGAAATGAAAACATGTCTGAGGTTTTGTTGTGGTTGATCTGTGTAGAACGTTTGATCAGAGAGGTAGTGACTTTAGAGATTACTTTGATTAAGATAGAATGGGACAAACATAATAAGCAGTAATTTAAGTTTTCAAACGGGTTAAAAATATGATATCAACAGATTTATGTGTATCGATTTGAAAAATGATTTCCAATGTGTGTATTACTTGGGATGCCTGAGGGCGTTGAGACAGCGACTGAGGTAGCCTTGTGCACTCCATACTAAAGCGTAACCATCCTTGCTGCCGGTGATGATGTGCCACTTGTCAAACTTGATGGATGTCACCTGGTCATGATGACCACTTAACATCTAAAATACAATAACAACAAAGTGAGAAGGAGCTGAGATTGATAAACCCCTCAAACCTCGATCAGAACACTATATCTCACATATCTAGTACATACATATTTCATCTAAGATGTCCAAGTGTGAATTTAGACTCTCGTTACCATCAAAACTGACAGTTTAGTTTATTACTGTTTTATCTATTAACAAACTGGGTCATTTAAGACCCAGAGAAAAATCACCGACCTTGGCCAATACCTTGTGACTGCCCCAAGAAGGCCTCAGAGGTGGAGGTCCAGTTATAAGGACAGTTAGATGCAAAAGCAGCCGTAAAACCCAACAGATGATGCTCTGTGCCAAATAAGATTTCCGGTCTTTGCCTTGGTGCATATCAATTTTTTAATAAATCTCATCACCATTACATTTCACTGACTGCCTCATATACTTAGTAAAGTTCAGAGGTGACTCACCTTGACAAGGTCGCCTGTCTTCACGTCCCAGACCTTCACTCGACCTCCCTCACACCCAGTGATACACAGTTCCTCATTCATGGCCACTGCCCACACAGGTTTACGATGTTTAAATGTCCGCTGACACTTTCCAGTTTGCATGTTCCAAACTGAAACAAGTTTATTGCAACAACTATCAATTACAGAACTTTAAAAACCTTATATCACCATGAGGTAAATATAAACCAAAACTGTTTTGTGGTCCTAAGAGCATGACTTACATTTGGGATTTGACTCGCAAGAATGGAGGACCTGTGGACTCCCCCTCCCTCCCCTGGGGAATCCCCCTCCCTCCCAAGATTAAGGATACATTCCAACTTTCTACAAGTTATCAAAAAGATGAAACTCAGGAAAAAGAGGAACAACCACAAGAAAAGTTTTATCACAAGAAAACTGACAATGACAGCAAAGTTGGTTTGGAATAACCTTAGGTCAAAGACCTTTCATGGAACTGGGTCAGTATAAAACACTCAAATCTTATTTTTCTTAAATAAGCATACAGACATTTTGAATTTACTCTATTATGTAGGGTTTTTTTCCTCCCCACCACCTTGAAAATATGTTTTTAAGTACATGTACTCTTTTAGAGTACATTCTCATACAAAAATTATATTTAAAAATTAGCATATTCATGAGTAAAGATATTTCTAATCTACTTTGAATATATATTTTTGACAGATTCTGACACTGCCGTGACTTCAACTAAATATAGTGATGATATTAGACTTATTAACAAACAAATTTGTGTGTTGAACAATAGTTGGCCCTTCAGTACCTTGTAAATATCTAAGTCAATATTTGGATACTCTCACCAATATGGCTAAACAAACATGGCCTGAAATAAGTCTGTGAAATTAATATCCTTAGATTTCAGAACTACAGGGAAAATATTTGTTTTTAGTTCACACATTGAAGGTTTTGTCAGAAGGGACATGAAAATCCTTCTTGGTCTCACAATTAATTTCCCCCGAGCAGATCTTAACACAATAAAATCAAATTGTACTTTATACCAAAGCAAACAAGTTCTTTTATAGAAAGCAAAGAGGTAATCAGTTTCTGAAATTAACCTCAAAGGTATAATCATATACAGATGATTATTTTGTAAGTAACAAACCAAAATATGGATATTCAATCTAAAGCACACTCAGAAATATCTGAAACATCTAAAGGAAAAAATGGAATACATATTGTTGGTTTATCAAGTTTGCTTAAGGTAAAAGGGGTTGGAACCCCCCCCCCCCCCATTTTTGGAAAATCTGACGCACTGTTTGTTCATGGCACTTTACTTACATCTAAACTGTATTTATATGTGCCAACATTTCTTAGCCAATCGTTGATGTCATCAATTGATGTAGTAATTCCTATAATCTTGATGTCATTTATTGAGTGACAATTTTCATGAAAACAGTAGTGTGTAAAAAGCTGACATCTGTATCATTGATCTTGATAGTTAGTTTGATAGTGTCATGTTTCCATGCTCTTATATCTAAGTCACAATAAAGTATCCATGCTTAGACAATAAAACCTATACACCACAACAAAGAAGCAAGGCAATAGCTCCTTTCCCGAATATTGAAAAAAACATATCAAGATTCCCTCCACATTATCCTGAATACGACAGGATGACAGTATCTCAGGTTTTGAAGTAGACAACTTTCACCACACTAAATATATTTCTTCCATTTTGTCGCCAACTTAAACCTTAAAACGTGAAATGCTTACAATCACTAAGTTTGTGGATTTGTTTTGTGAAAAACGGATAATCAGACAGATAAATGAGCAGTTCATTTGTCACAAGTGAACGATTGAAATATTCTAGCTGTGCTCTAGACGTCCAACTCCTGGTGATAGCAATGATTTATCTTGAACCAAATCCTAAGAGGAAGAAGTCCAAGTGCCCTATATATTGACCTAGCATGTTAACCACGAAACACCCCAGGCCTTGAATCTGGAAATCGTAAATACATTCTCAATAAATAAGCTAACAAACAACTTTCCAGGTGTGAAGGTGGTCACAATTCAATCATAACAGGTTTGTCTACTATTAAGCCTGAAAAATTCAATAAACTTTTTTATTGTAAAGATAAATTTTTTTTATATTTATGTGGGAATGACAGAATGTTGATTGTATTTATCTTGTGATTGGACATAAAGGGTGTGTAAATGTTTGTCTATGTACGCAATAGAACATTTCATCAAATACATATATATATATCAACACACTTCTGTTTTTTTTACAGAATTCAAGTGGTAATTTTCTTTTTCTAATTTATGACCAAGAAAGTTTATAAGCAACAACAAAAACCTTTTGACCCTAATCATGACTTAGTATGAACCATCTGAATGGTGCAGTTTTATTCATTAATTTTTTGTCTTTTTTCACATTTTTGTGATGTTATTTTTCTGCCAAAATCACAGTAAAAGCAGGACTATGAAAAACAAATAGATACTCTATAGAACATGCTGTTTAGTTATCGGGCTTTGACCAACACTTCAGGGTGTTGTTATCATTAAGTGTCAGTGACCCCAACTTCTAAGATTCTTGAGTTATACTTCGACTTCCATATATCAGGTGACTATTTATCTAGACTCTTTGACCTGACATTTCTATAACTACTTAACATTTTCAATGAAATTACAACATTGTTGAAATATGACACTATATATCACTATGCAGTTTTGAAAAACACCCGTGACAAATCATACTGATTCATTATGTATTCTCCAGGCAGTAATTGTATTTATCTGGCAATAAGCCCACCCACAGATATTGCTGTTCACTAAAAATACAAAACAGTTTACTTCCTTATCCAGTAATAAGTCCACCACAGGGCTGTGAGTTATGACACAGATAATGGTGGATTACAACCTTGTCTATTTGGCTAGTTCTGTCACATTAATCTCTGTTGGATATTATATATTTCTTTTGCTGATTTGAAATTGTATATATGTAACTATGATGCAAAATAAATAAGAATAGAGCCCTTTAACAATGAAATTACGCAAGTTCCTGACATATGTTGTTGCTAAGTTGTCCATTTATTTGCACACTGAACGTTGCAGCATTGAGGTGGGTTAGGTTATCACTGGTAAGAATACCAGGCAAGAATAGGCAAAAAATTATTAGAAGATCAAGTGTATTAACATCTGTGTGTTGAAAGAAATATTACAGATTGTGACACATCTGTTACAGTAAGGACTTGTAAGGGCCTGGGTACAATATGGTGAGATCCCAAGTGATTATAATGAGTTTATATTTTGTAACTAAAACATAATTTTTTACCTTTACAGCAGTTATCTTTGGCACCAGAAACTAAGTAATCACCATACACCATGACTGTGAGGATTGTGTCTCGGTGACCACGAAATATTCTCATACACTTGCCAGTCTCCATGTTCCACATCCTGTGTTACAAACAGTTAATATTTCCATTAATCGTTAATGATGTACATTCTAATTACTTTATAGAGCTATGTTCTCTGCTAATAACTAGCTTCAAATTATGCAATATTTATCAATCCATTGTAATGTTTAACTGTCCGCAATGCTTTACATAACAAGTTTAAAAATATTTTTTAGTATTAGCTTTAAAGCTCCAGCATTTATTTGTTCTCATATTATTTTCTCCTCTCTGCATCATATAATAGTAAAAAAACCTAATGAATTACTTATAACAATATGACAATAATCAATGAAATTCCATATTAATCAGAAAGCAATAAAAAAAAATATAGCTATAAAGTAGTGAAATTTCTAGTTACATCAGCAAATAATAAAAATGTCCCAAAACAAGCCCGGATGACACCGGCACATAACTGAAAGAAATATATACAATAACCAATGAAATTTCTTTATCTGCAGTACCAGAAAACAACATGATGGAGCTCTGACTTTTGAAAATCCTTGTTACAAGATAAACCAAGAAGAGGAAATAACCAATGAAATTCCTTGTTTCATCATAGAGTAAGATTTTGGCTATAACTTACCTAATACTAGTGTCGTAACTGCCACTAAGGACGTAGCCATCATCCTCACACAGGTAAACACAGCGGACACTTCCAGCATGTCCAGTAATCACTGGACCCTGCTCTTTTCCAGACTCTCGCTCTATAAAGCGTACCTTACGATCCTTTGACCCAATGGCTATCAGTTTACCTCCACAGGTGTGTACAACACGATGAGAGTCCTCACTGTATAATAAGAATAAATCCTTAAAGGTGTTTTGTAAGTAGAAAATGTTTAACAGTTAGAACCATATGATCTCTCAAATAAATCAAATCTTCGTTTTTCCATTTGATATAATTTCCTGGTATTCACTAGTTGCTATTAGCAGAAAAAAAAAGATAATTTTGTATAATCATTTTAAGGAGATAAAAAAAACTTACACATCTTTGAGCACCATGACATTATATGAGCCACAATAGACATTGCGCTCCTCCATGATGACCTTGCGACATGATATTCCTGACAAAGCTGTTTCAAAATTGACCTCATTCTTATACTTGGCTTTGACAACTTGATCTTTTGTGGTAATTATCTCCCTTGTACCCAGGTGCCGATTTGGCACAAGAACATCTACATCTTTGGCGTATACTGGGTTTGCACCTTGTGCTGAAGCACCCTACAACAGCAAACAAATGATAATTATCAGGAGTTTAAAGATGATCAAAATCACTTCAAATATTTCAGTTCTCTATATGTTTTTTTATTGCTTCATTTGATACCTAAAAGTTCTAGTAAATACTTTTTCACTAATGTGGATGCTGAAATTACTGGCAAATGAGCTGTTGGTTTTATGATGAATCATACAACAGTTAGTTACATGTCAGTGATGACACCAGGTGAAGTATTTCTGTGAATTTGACACTAGAATGACAGAAATGATTGATTCAATTTTGATTTAGGGATGATCAAAATTTCTCTTGTAGTCAAGGCTATGTCTTTAAGACTTAAATGCCTTACCTCCGTGGACATAAGTACCCATGTTTAAAAATTTCTAAAAATAGCAGCTGTGAACTTGACCTTAGAACCCCAAAAACACAAACTTGTTAAAGTTGACAGTTGAAAAAAAGTTCATTCAAAATTCATCAGGAAAAGAAGTTGCTTAAGTGATGACATTGATTAAGGATGTGAAAGGATGGGATGGTATTGGACAGGCATGGCAAACTCTACATGCCCTTCCCAAAAAACGGTGTCACAGACCTAAAATTTTCACTTCTAAATTTACTGAAAAGAATTTTTTTACTAACCTGCATCAGCATTACTTCCTCACATAGGTCCTGGTTAATACGGAACTCCTTATGTACCTCCTCCACAAGAGAGCTCCAGTAATTACTTACACACAGTGCATTGTGTAATGTAGCAATGTCCAAAAATCCCAGCACATATTTAGCAATATGAACAGGCAGAAAGCGGATGAAGTCTTTATATTTTGCAACCCCAGAGGAAGCCTTTGCTGATGTTGGAACCACCATACATGCTGGATCAACTGACAGAATGTCCATGGAAGTGAAACTTTCATCACCACTATCATCATTTTCAATTTCATCATCCAAGAAGAGTTCTTCACCAGTGAGTGGATTAAGTTTTGGAATGCCATACTCAGGTGTTGCTCGGATAAGAAGGTCAAGGTCAGGTCGCTCGTCGGATTGATATGTGTAATTAGTACTTGCTATAGAAGCTGCCTCTAGCAGGTCATCTTCTGTAAAAAAAAATAGAAAATGAATTTTTTTTAGTTTTCAGAAATGTAAAAATTGAGTTTAATCTACCATTAGTCAACTGATTATGAAAGATGCACACAATAGCTGCAGTATGAAACACCTATACGTGCTCTGGTATATATCTATATTTTTTCTATGAAATAATCTGAATTAACACAAATGATGATCACTGACCCTCAACACACACACAACTATACGAGAAAAGAATAAAAAAAACTTGTTATAGTTGTCTTTAAACCGGGCATGATTTTACAGGATTTACGGTACTGTTGTGTCACTTATATTAACATATTATATATAATCATGGGGGTATCATAACACAGTATACAGAGATATTATCACAAAATATACAGTATGTAACCATTGAGATATTATTACATAGTATACAGTATGTAACCATGGAGATATTATTACATAGTATACAGTATGTAACCATGGAGTTATTATTACATAGTATACAGTATGTAACCATGGAGTTATTTTTACATAGTTTACAGTATGTAACCATGGAGATATTATCACAAACTATACAACATGTAACCATGGAGTTATTATTACATAGTATACAGTATGTAACCATGGAGATATTATTACATAGTATACAGTATGTAACCATGGAGATATTATCACAAACTCTACAGCATGTAACCATGGAAATGTAATTACATAGTATACAGTATGTAACCATGGAGATATTATTACATAGTATACAGCATGTAACCATGGAGATATTATTACATAGTATACAGTATGTAACCATGGAGATATTATTACATAGTATACAGTATGTAACCATGGAGATATTATTACATAGTATACAGTATGTAACCATGGAGATATTATCACAAACTATACAGCATGTAACCATGGAGATATTATCACAAACTATACAGTATGTAACCATGGAGATATTACTACATAGTATACAGTATGTAACCATGGAGATATTATTACATAGTATACAGCATGTAACCATGGAGATATTATTACATAGTATACAGTACGTAACCATGGAGATATTATCACAAACTATACAGCATGTAACCATGGAGATATAATTACATATTATACAGTATGTAACCATGGAGATATTATTACATAGTATACAGTATGTAACCATGGAGATATTATTACAATGTTTACAAATATATAACCACCACACACATAGGCTCTCACAGCTGGGGTCACGTGTAATGTAAACAGACCATTCAATAAAATCACAAACATATAAAATCACAAACGTACACCAACACCAATCAATTCTAGACCCTTTTCTTCAAAGAAATGTCAATTTCTACTGACCATAAGAATACTTTGGGAAAGTGGAATGATTTTTAATTTGTGACCATTATAACAAGCAAAGTGAAATTGATTTTCTATTTTCTTTGAATTCAAAACCTGATCAACCAGTGCCAAAACTGAATTGATTCATGTCTGCCAACTCGTTCAGAGTGAAGCTATTTTCTCTCCTGAAGTGTCCTTATGACTTGAAGACTATTTCCTCTCCTGAAGTGTCCTTATGACTTGAAGACTATGTCCTATCATTAAATATTTTACCATTTCTACTTGTCAGAAATTGATTTTATATTTAACTAGACATTCAAATCATTCTTATTTTACTGTTTGACGCATGCCAAACTAATTTCTGAACAAAACAGGTAGTGACAGTGCATGCCTGAAAGGCTTGTATATGTGTATAGATCTCCACTTAAAAGAAGTCGGTTTTATCTTTTAGTACCTTTTAGTAATGTTTATATTATATCACTCTTGAATGTTAGCCTAATTTTGTCACCTGAAAAACTTTCATAATTTGTCATGTGTGTAAACTTTAAATGACAGAAACTAACATGTTCCTGAAGAAATTTACAACACCGTGGAAGGAAAGACTGACTGATTTATGATAAAATACAGTCATTAACCTTTTTTTTTCAAACTTTTAGAGAAAACAGCCGCTGATTTATGTTATCACTGAACCTTCAGATAGCATGTACTGGTTGCATTGAATCCATTTGCAGACTGATCACTTTTTCCTTTAAATCTTATCAGAATCCTCAACAATGTTAAATGCAGTACAGTAAATATACTTCACTTTTGAAAGCTGAAAAAAAAGTTATAGCTTTTACCAAAATACTATTAGTGTATATTGATACTTTGTACATAATGATGTAGATAAGTTTTTTAATAAGAGCTTTTACATTGACATTTTAAGCTAGAGACTGTCATCATGATGACTGTGGACTCCATTTTCATTCATACATGCTTGAATAATCATGAATCATTTTGTCCAAAAGTCAGATTATGACTTCCATGGCAAGTGCTATACCAATTATTGAAATTTCGACAAAGTTAATCACTTTGGTGTGTTCCTCAGACCTCTGGGTTGTGAAAACCATAAATTCACACTTTTGGTTAAGCTTCTGCCATGAAAGGTTTTTGCAAAACTTCATTAAAATTGGTCAAGAGTTTTTGAGAAAAAGCTGAAAATGTCAGCTGTTTACAGATGCATACCACATGATGGATGACACTAAACAAAAGGCAATCACAATACTGACATTTTCTATAAAATTTCAGATTTTTGATGAAATTTAAATACTCAGATCAAGTGTTCAGCCTTCAAACTTCTAATTTAGTTACTGTACATGTGCAATATAATATTCAATGGCCACATTTAACAATCCCAAAGTATTTCATCAAAGGTTGGGGACCCTATAAGCCGATATGAATAGTTTGTCAGTTTCATGGGAATTTGTCATATAAGTTGAATGTATTAGCCTGGGAACCTGTTTTCAATATATCTATTCAAAGATGAATGATGACCATGCTACCGGTAATCTAATATGGATTACGGCTTCTGCCCCTCCCTCCCCTGACCTAACATACAATATATACATACAACTTATATAGGACCTTTCTATTACCAAGGCTAATAAAAGCACAGGCATATTTGTCAGATATCTTGGTAGGTATGGTATATGATCTAATATGTCAGGCTGATCATTGTAGTGGTCAACTGGTCAAGGGAATTTAATGTATGGCAAAATCATTGGGCCTAAGTGATTATATTTTCTTCAAACTGATTTCGAAGAAAATTTTTTACCAAATTTTTTATTTTTGTGTTGTACTGTATATCTTTTTTATTTATGCTATAGAAAGAGAATGCAGTGATTTAAAGAGAAACTTATATAACAACTTTTCTATTAAATTAACAGCATATTTACAGCCTTATTCTGTAGGATGATGTTTAAGGTTCATGTAAAACATACCAGGGGTATTATACTTCATAAATTAAAGGTCAATATTTTCAGACCTGTAGAATAAATTTAAGAAAGGAATTGATTTTCTGTCCCTAACACAAACTACAAATATGAAAGCTTTCTAACAGAACTACCATATCAGTGACAACAACTTGTCCAATCTCAGATCAACCTGATATCCTGACCTACTCAAATTATGAAAATCGTTAAAATCACCGCATATTTCATCGCTTTTAATCAACAGGAAAATTTCAAAATCTACTTTGTAATAAAAACATCAAAATTATGTTTAAACATCACATACAATTAAAACTATTAGATTATTGGTTCTTTTTCATTAATGGTCCTTTAAAACACTCCTCCACTTTTGATTCACTATAGGTTGTTGATAGCCTCAGACAATATTAAAACTCCACTTCATTGTATTCTGGAAAAACTTCTACCTGTATAATAAAAGCTTATTGAAAACCAGTTGAGATCAATCACTAAGTTTTATAGTGTGTTGCTTCTGTCTGAGCATATTAGACTTTTCTATCATGTTTGCAGTTTTTTTTTTTTTTACACAATAATTTTGTTCCATTTCCTCTGTATCCTAAGGAGAATCAATACAGTGAACAATTCACGTCCACTACAGTGAACAATTCACAGTGATTATGGCATCCAAGCCTTATCAGCTTGTAGAATACTTTCATCGAAATATTCAAATTAAAGATTTTTCAAAAATACTGAATTTCAAAATAAAGAATTGAAATGTTCATATATACATTCAATATTTTCACATAGGCTTATTACCAATACTGCATCAACAAAATCTTCAGTGAAAAAGAAATTCCTTGTATTTTATTTCATCATTTTCATCCTTTTTTTTAACAAAAATATGATTATTAATCTTTAAAACTTTTTATTCATTCTTTTCATGTAATTTTTTACATTCCCAATTCAACGAACCAATTTTGTGCTATTTACAATAGAATTTAGATTTCTTTGTCTTTGCTAACAAAGTTTTTGAACACATTTAATTAGTCGATAAATATCATGCACTCAAATGATTTCTCTTTCATTTTTTTTTAAATAAGTTAGTCATTTTATGGAAAATTTCATCAGTGTATACTGTTGAATCAAAACTACTCTGCCAAATACAATAGAGGTAAGATGAGAGACATATTACAAACAGTGCATTTCATTAATTCTTCATTCTGAATATCTTTTATCACTATATTTATGATTTATCGTTCTGTTTTTAAATCGTGACAACCTTAAAAAACACTAACTTGCTGGATTTCAGTAATACTTCTTGCCAACTCACTAAATATTGATGACTTGGTAATGGTGTATCATATTATACTGTCATTGAAAAAGGGGGTTCTCATGTGTATATGTTATAAAGCTGATAAAATGGAGACACATTTCTGTAAGTATTACATAGACTAGCAATTATGAAAAGAACAAAATTTATGAAGACAATGTAATAATAAAAAAAGATTACCTCTCTAAGCTAGCTGTTTTTAGGTAAAGTTTTAAATATTAAAGCCTTGTCAGTGTATCTTAACTGAGCAGCATGCAAGGATGTATTAGCCAGCAAAACAAGTGGATATATACATTATTACATACAAACACTGATGAAAAACCTACAACATTAGCCACCAAAAGAAGTGGATATATACATTATTACATACAAACACTGATGAAAAACCTACAATATTAGCCACCAAAAGAAGTGGATATAT